GAAGATAATCCATTTATGGATTGGAAGAATTAATATTATTAAAATGTCCATACTACTCAAAGCAATCTACAGATTCAATGCAACCCCTACCAAAATTCCAATGGATTTTCCACAGAACTAGAAAAATTCTAAAATTTGTATGGAACTACAAAAGACCCCGAGTAGCCAAAGCAATCTTGAGAAAGAACATGCTGAAAGCATCATGCCCCCTGATTTCAAACTATATTACAAAGCTATAGTAATCAAAACAGTATAGTACAGGCATAAAAGCAGATGTATAGATTAGTGGAACAAAATAGAGAGCCCAGAAATAAACCCATACATACATGGTCAATTAATTTCTGACAAAAGAACAGTTTCTTCAATAAACGGAGTGGAGAAAACTGAACAGCAACATGCAAAAGAAATAAACTGGACCCCTATCTTACACTATACATAAAAATTACCTCAAAATGGATTAAAGACTTAAATCTTAATATAAAACCTAAAACCATAAAACTCCTAGAAGAAAATATAGGCAATAAGCTCCTTTCCATTGGTCTTAGCACTGATTTTTGGATTTAACATCAAAAGCAAAGTCAACAAAAGCAAAAATAAACAAGTGGGACTACATCAGACTAAAAAGCTTTTGTACAGCAAAGGAAACCATCAATAAAATGAAAAGACAGCCTACCAAATGGTAGAAAATATCTGCAAATCATAAATCTAATAATAGGCTAATATCCAAAATATATAAAGGACTCACACAGCTCAACAGCAAGAAAAAATCCAATTAAAAAATGGGCAGATCTGAACAGGCATTTTTCCAAAGACATACAAATGGCCAAAAGACACATAAAGAAGATACTCAACATCACTAATCGTCAGGGAAATGCAAATCGAAACCAAAATGAGATCACTTCACACCCGTTGGAACAGGTATCATCAGTGAGACAGTAAATACCAAGTGTTGCTGAGGATGTGGAGAAAAGGGAACCCTTGCGCACTGCTGGTGGGAATGTAAATTGGTACAGCCACTACGAAAAACAGTATGGAAGTTCCTCGAAAAAATAAAAATAGAACTACCATATCACCCAGAGATTCCTCTACTGGGTATTTATCAGAAGAAAACAAAATCACTTTCTCAAAAAGTCTGAATCCCACATTCATTGCATTACCTACATCAGTCAAGGAGGTAGAAACCACCTAAGTGCTTACTGACAGATGAATGGGTAATGAAAATGTGGTTATATATACATACTCAATGGGATACTGGCTGGAGAACAAAAAAAAAAGGAAATCCTGCCATTTGCATGGATAGAACTTGAGGGCATTGTGCTAAGTGAAGTAAGTCAGACAGAGAAAGACAATAATGATCGCATATGCGGTCTGTCTGGAAAAAGCCCAGCCATTGTTAATATAACAAGAACAGTTTACGTGACATCAGCGTAACCTGCCAGCCAAGGAGAGTGGGCAGGAATGTGCATGTGTGGACAAGGATGACTTCACTGTGCTGGTCGGTGGGAGCAGTAGATGCCATTGAGTGAGCATGTGTGCTGGTGGCTGTTGTGTTCAAAGTGACTGAGTGATTAGAGCAATGAATCTGCATCAAATGTTGCATTAACCTTGAGGTCTGGCTGATGTGGCTCAGTGGATTGAGTGCAGGCCTGAGAACCAAAGGGTCACTGGTTCGATTCTCAGTCAGGGCACGTGCCTAGATGGCAGGCCAGGTCCCCAGTAAGGAGGGGCGCAAGAGGCAACCACACATTGATGTTTCTCTCCCTCTCTTTCTGCTTCCTGTACCACCTCTCTAAAAATAAATAAGTAAAATCTTAAAAAAAAAAAAGCTTGAACAATCTCCACGGAAAGTATTCAGATGATTCAGAAGGCCTCAGCTGGTGGTTGGCAGCTTCATCACAACACACCCACTTATGCACCTTGCCTCATGCAGTTTTTTGTCAAAACATCAAGTCACCCAGGTGACTCAGCTCCCCTATAGTCCAGATTTGGTGCCCTGAAACTTCTTGCTTTTCCCAAAACTAAAATCACCTTTGAAAGGGAAGAGATTTCAGACTATTGATGAGATTCAGGAAAATGCAACAGAGCAGCTGATGGTGACTGGTAAGAACTGTGTGGGGTCCCAAGGTGCCCACTTTGAAGGGGACTGAGACACCATTGTCCCATGTACAGTGCTTCTTGTTCTTTTTCCTCTTACAGGGCTGGACACTCTCTGGCAGACCGTGGAATACAGAGAAAGAAAAACTGGATCCATAGATACGGAGAACAGACTGGGGGTTGCCAGAGGTGGGTGAAATGGGAGGAGGGATCAAAAGGTGTAAAGTTCCAGTTACAAACAAGTCCTGGGGACACAGAGTACAGCGTGGTGACTACAAGTTTAACAATATTGGGTTGTGGATTTGAAAGTTGCTGAGACAGTAAAAGTTCTCATCAGAAGAAAGATTTTGTAACCACATAGTGAGGGATGTTCAGTAAGCCTACTGTGACCATTTCACAGTACATGCACATTGTTACACTGTACACACAAAATTAATACAATGTTATATGTCATTGTACCTTAATAAAAATAAGACAGGATATTTATTTATATTCATTTTTATATATGCATGAACACATTTTTTGTATATACACCGTTATCTCTAGAAGATGCACAAAAATAACAAGAGCAGTTGCCTTAATGGAGGCTGGGGTAAGGGTTAAGGGTAAGACTCATTTTTTAACTTCCCTTCACACTGTTTGTTTGTCATGTCCTATAAGCATATATTATCCATCAGAAACAGCTTTGCACTCTTGCTGATTTGAGCTCTTTTGTTGCTAATGGGTTCCAGTGATCTCAGCTGCTTGGTCGGCCGAGGAAGTCCATCCCTGCAGGGGCCTGAGCAGAGAGCGCCCGGGCCAGGCGTGTGAGGGCCCAGCCACACATCTTCTCACTGACTTGCCAGGACAACTGAGTGTCCCTGTGACCCGTAACCTTGTTGGCTTAGTCAGGGCGTCCCACCTGGCCTTCCCAGCCAAGACCGTTACACACACTCTTCTTACGTCCCTTTTGTGGGTGGTCTCTTTTCCTGACCTAGTGAGCCCTATTTTCTGATTAAAATTCCCCATCTTTGGCAGGTTTGTTTTTTCTGCAGCCAAGTGGTTGTGGAACCGCAGCAGCAGGAGCAGCTAACATGTATTGCATACTTAGTGTCCTGGTTTGCCAGGGCTGCCACAGAGGAACACCACAGACGGGGCGGCTAGAACTGAAACCGCCCCCACAACGCTGAAGGCTCGAAGCCTGAGCTCAAGGCACCGGAGGGCTGGTGGCCGCCGCGGCCTCTCTCCTTGAGGACTCTTGGCTTGATGTAGATGACTGTCTTCCCCCTGTGTCTTCTTCACACAGTCGCCCCTCTGGGTCGTCTGGGTCCAAATTTCCTCTCCACATAAGGACGCCAGTCATACCGGATTAGGGTCCACCCTAATGACCTCATTGTAGCTTAACTGCCTCTTTCAAGGCCCTGTCTCCAAATAGTCACAGTCTGGGGTCCTGGGGTTCGGACTCCGACATAGGAACTGGGGGCCGTGGGGACACATTTCGGCCCGTAACAGTGCGTAGGAGGCAACGCGCTAAGTGCCTTACAAACATTACCTCGTGTAGTCTCACTCCCTATACCATGAAGGAAACCGAGGCACGGAGAAATTAAACAAAGTGGTCAAGGTAGTAGGCAGCAGAGTCAGAACTCGAATCTAGGCTGACGAGACTCCTCAGCCCACACCACACAGCAGTTGTTTCTGTGTTCCATGGAACCATCGGAGTGTCCGAGAGGGGAATTAAATGGCGGCTGTAGTGAGCAAATCGAGCAATTCCACTCCCGAACCATCCTCTTTCCCAGGAGGAGGGAGCCAAGGGGCCCCAGCCCGTCTTCAAGTCGGTCCGGCAACCCACAGCCTCTTGGCGCCCCCTCCCGGCCTCGGGAGCCCTGAAGAGCAGGTGGTGCGGTCGCTCAGCCGCTCTCGCGCCTGACCCACTCCCGGGAAACGCAGTGCGAGTGGACCGATGAACCAAGCCCCTGCTCCCTCAGGGAACGTGCTGGGACCCTTGGACATCACGGCCAGTTAAACTTGAAATCCGGTCACATCTGGCCCATGCCAAGGCTGCTAGAGTTTTCTATATAGGATCCAGAAAAGCCCAAACTTGGCCCAGAGTCCCCGGCCTAAGGCAAAGGTACAAAGGGTCCCGGCCCGAGTGAAGTGCAGGGCTACACTCAGGCTGCTGACCGCGCGACGGCCGAGGCCGAACGAGGACACTCGGAGTGTCATCTGTAACTGCTCCGATGCAACAAGGGTGAGTGTGGTCCTTTGGTTTCTCTCGGCTTAAACTTTTCTGTTTTTAAAAACGTCTTCCCAAAACTCCAGAGAAGTGTGAAGGGGTGAGGAGGCTGCTGTGCACCTGAATCTTGCTCCAAGTTAGAAGCATTTAACCAGATCATCACTCTAACCGTTTTAACCAAATAAGAAAGAAAGAGGGCTGTGGGCACTAGAGCCAGCTTTCAGCTGCAGGGCCCTGTGCGTCGGGGAGCAAGGAGAAGCACCCGAGTTTCTGCAATTCCGAAACCCTCCTGTCCATTCTGAAACACGGATCTGTGATCATCTAGATGAGCAAATTATTACTCAAGTGAAACATTAAGATACCCAGCTCACAACAGCTTCTGTGGCGGACTTGTACGCTTAGAAATCAGATAATAAACGTAAGAGAAGCTGAAGGGCCAAGTATATTAGATGTCATCACAGATGTTAGATGTCCTTCCTAAAACATCTGTGAAATGAAAATAAAATACTATTAACATTTTAGGAACCCCATACTGCTATCACATACATTTTGGAGAACTCACAGAGTCAAACCCGGAAATATTCTTGACTAATTTCTGGAGAGATGCCTAACTAATTTTTAAACATCCATGAAATGAGAGACAAATTTTATGTTAAATCAACATCAACGTTTATTTTATTCAAACAAGCTTTCACACTGTACAAAGCCATGTAAACAGTCTTAAATCCAGCTGTAATAAATCTACAAGATCACCCCCACCCCATCAAGCCCCCCAAGTCAAAACGGCTCAGTGAAAACCTGTCTCGAAGGGCAACCTCCAAAGGCTTGTTGGGGCAGGATGTCAGACAGTGCTAACTGCTCCTTCCCTGACCACGTGGCAGTAAAGGTAACAGGAAATGGGGGAGCTCTTCCTCTCCAGTTTTCCTTCAGAGACAGTGCACAAGATTTTAAGGATCTACAAAAGCAGCACGACTTCACCTCGCTGCAAATTAGTCTTTAAAAAACCACTGTGACCAGCAGAGTTTCCAGGTCTCCGCACCAATAAAAGCAGCGGTTCTCCACCTTGAATGCAGGTTACACTTACTTGGGGGTACTTTGAAGAATATCGATAATCAGGCTCCAATCCAATTAAATTCTTATTTAAATAATAATGCTGGGCATCAGTCTTTCAAGGCAGTCGGGGTTGAAAACCACCGAGCAAAGGCTTATCATCACTTGACCCAGGAGCGAGGGTGTGTGTTGCAATCACACCTCTCCCCATGGCCCTTTCCTCCCGGCGGCTGCAGGAGCCAAGTGTCACTTCACCCTGCTCAACGTGACTAAGCACTATGCACATCCATATCACAGCCGGAAGACACTTTGTACCCCAAGATAAATAAAAAGTAACAGGGTCGCTTGACTGGTTCTGATCTCAAAAACAATAAAACCTCAAACATTTCCCATAAGCCTGGACTCCCCAGCAAAGCAATTTTATCCCTGGTTTTTACTGTGCTGATGTCTGAAAACTGGTCACGGCCTTTGTGACTATGATAATCGTGTGGGAAAGCTACTGCTTTTCCACCACGAACAGACTAATGCAAACCTGGAAACCCTGCTGGGTCCTGCTTTTTTCCTTTAAATACGTGTGATTTATTTGGCCAGTCCTCTTGCTCTTCACAGGTAAACTTCCTTTCCTAAATGCTCTAGTCTCTGAGTCTGTCTCCAACAAGGGTCAAGTCCCAAAGAGTGCTTGGACTTGGAACTGGGTAATCTCCTCCTAAGAGTAGAAAGTTCTCAGCAAGTGATAAGTAAGGGGCTGAGAAATGAGAACCACTCAGCTAGCCCACAGGTGTGACCCAAGATGCAGTTCAGCCAGAACCGTGACCTTCATGCTGAGCAAACCCCCCCGCTGGCACTGGGCTCCTGCGCTGCAGACTCTTGGAGCAGCTTTTCCCTATCTGAACCTCAACTGCACTGGGCTAAGTAATTTTCACAAAACTCTACACCAAGGACGACCCCAAAGATTACATGTGAAAATATAGAAATGAACAGACACACACACACACCATGGAAACAAGAGCTTGCTGTTTTACAGACTTTTCAGGAACCTACTAAAACCTATTACGATCAGATTTGCTGGCTCTCCAGCTAACAGAAAGTAGTGAGAGCAAATCTTACTGAAACAGTAAAACACAAGCCTGGTGAAGGCAAGGCCCTCATGAGTCCTGTCCTCTGCTACAGTCCCAGGGCGGTTAGTCAACACGGTCGGTGTGCGCTCAGTGCGTGCGCTCAGTGCCCGTCCAACGGCTGGAACGTGTGGAGCTGGAAATCCTTCTGGTCCGCAGAGATCAGAGCTGTGATAGCCCCTCTTACAACCTGGGAGTCCTTCTGTAGCTCACTCGTGCTACCCTGCTGGGACAGAGCTTTTTTCCTTGGTAAAAAATCAAACTGTCCACTACCAACCTTGCCTAATAAGCTCTCCAAAAGAGTTCTGCAATTTGGTCTGATTTCTTTCCAATTCTGGTTCAAAACACAAACCAGACCAACACTGCCAGGCCTGACAATTTGCATCGAATTCAGACATCCACTAGCAAGCAAACATTCACCGAGCCCAGAGCCCAGCACTACCCCAGGTACAGCACACCATGGAAACAAGAGCTCCCCTTTTGGGTGCGACAGCGCCGGACTCCGGGCAGTGGGGGAAGGAGTGCAGGGGAGGCCACTCTCTGGATGGGGGAGCAGGCACCTTACAAACTCAGCATGTTTAAACTCAGAACAACTTCTAAACACCCCTCCAGGCTACCCATTAACTAATATAATCAGGCCTTTCTTAAGTGCCATGATAATTTATATTACGCCATTTGACAAGCTATCTAGCACAACCTTTCTGACCCTAGATATATGGTAACTTCTAGAACAACAGGAAATAAAGCCTTTTTGGAAAAGCCTTGTGCAATTACCTGTTTAACGCCTTGTTTCTCCCCCTAGACCTGTGCTATTCAATATGAGAGCCACTAGCCAATATAAATTGAAAATTCATTTTCTGTGTCATACCGGCCACCTTTCAAGGACTCAATTCAGCAGATGTGGGAGCAGCTTCTGGCGGGGCACAGACACAGAACATTTCCGTCAGTGTGGGACCTTCCACCGGACAGGCCTGGAGCACACCAGAGGGGCAGTCCCACGAAGACGGAACCTTCTGCTCTTCTCACCGGTGAGCACCCAGCGCCTCCCACACAGACCGCCAGAGGGGAGGCACTCGGTAAGCACGTGAAGTTAAGCACCCAAGGGCCACGGAGAGGACTGGAGAGGACAAAGTCCTGGAGTGTGCGCGTGAGGAGCGGGTGCCCGGGGACTGTGCACTCCCCAAGGTTGAGGGTCAAATCTAGGAAAGCTAAAACAAAACAAATGAAATCCCCAAAAGTAGTAAAGAATTCGACACTCCCGAAAAGGGGAACTTGCTACCCCAAGTCTAGTGAGCCCATGGGCCAGAAGCACCCCGTCACCAGGAGCTTGTTAGAAATGAGGAATCTCGGCCTCCACCCCTGTCCTACTGGCTGGGAATAGCAATTTTAACAAGCCGTTTTTTAATTTATTGATTTTAGAGGGAGGGAGGGAGAGAGAAACATCAGGTTGTTGTTCCACTTATTTATGCATTCATCGGTTGATTCTTGTTATGTGCCCTGACTGGGGATAGAACCCGCAAACTTGGTGTATCAGGATGACACTCTAATCAGCTGAGCTACCCAGCCAGGGCTTAACAAGCAGTTTTAATGAACATTAACATATGAGAAGCACTAGTCTAATTCTCTCTCTGTCCTTTCAGACTGAGCAAGTATCTCTCAAACAGCAAATGTGAAACAACCACTATGTACAACTGCATATAAATCTACAATTAATCTCAGTAAAGAAATATTTCTCACAAAATTTGAATCATATCTTAAGGCTTTTATTTTTATTTAATCTTTATTGGATTTTTTCCATTACCACTTAGTTCCCTTATACACCCCTCCCCTAACAGCCACCACACTGCTGTCCGTGTCCATGAGTCCTTTTTCCATCCCTCACCGCCTACCCTCCCCCACATTTAGCTTTTTTCCCTTTCCTACTACTATAACCCCAGTGCACCCCACAGTATCAGAAAATACCAAACCCACAGAGTATCTGTAGGTTCACGCATGCACACACACTCGCACCACTGTGGACAGAACCAGTGGCATGGAACCCACACACCAGAGGGCGCCCCAGAAGAACGTGCCTGTTTCCATTAAGGGTCTTAAGCTCCATTTTACTAATAACTGTTAAGTGTCAGGATTGATACATTACTATGATAAACCCAAAATTCTGGTTATGAGAAAATTATCCTAATTATTCAATGAATCTACCTGAAACAAAATCATTTCACACGTAATCTGAGTCTCACACATCTTTCAGGGCTGTGTTGCTATTGCTTTAATACACTACGATTCTTCAAACTAATAACCAGTCTACCAACTACAGTGTTATACACCCTGCACACAAAATGCAAGTTGTTTCTGATACTATCACATTTTTTTTACCCCTTTACTCCTTACTAAGGAAATTAAGTTGATGAGAAATGTAAGAACTTTTCTAGGTGTTTAGGGTTACGAATCACTTATACTTGTCCCTTATATTTTTATGTATTTACCTAATCTTCTACCATGACCTTTTTAAACTACCTGCATTACTTTTATAATAAAAACTGACTTTTAAAAAGGATTTTTATTTAAAAAATAAAGAGTAATGGAAAAATGCTTTCAAAATGTTCTTGCACTTTACTATGAAAACACAATAAAACTGAAATTTACCTATTTCCCTCATATTAAGCTGCATTTGAACAGGTTAAAAGCACAGTGGTGAAGGGCATAAAATAAAATGTCAAGGAAAAAAAGGCATAACTGAGTTAACCCATCCAGTGCCCCACAAATAAAAAATGATTCCCCCAACCAGGTCTGCCACCCGGCCTGTGCCTGCGGGGAGCCTGCCATTCCCACAGAAGCGCACCCCCTACCCCTGCTCTGCCCCCGATCTGTGAGTAACTGCTGAAGTTTCCATTTCTCCCCAGAGCCAGCTGTTTAACTCTCCCGACCTCTATTTTGCAGGCACCTGATTATATAACCCTCGATACATCACACCCCTGTACTAGCCTCTCCCCTTGGATGCGGACGGAACCTGTGCCTTGCTTCTAAGATAACAGGACATGGCAAAGGTGATGGGACAGCACTCCCGTGACACTGTTACGTAAGATTCCATCTTAGTAAACTCTTAGTGGGCAAGAGATTCCTGCAAGCTTTGAAGAGATGAGCTGCCAGGTTGTGAGAGCATCTGTGAGCACCACATGGCAACGAACTGTGGGAGGTCCCAAGAACTGACGCTGGTGCCAGCTGACAGCCAGCAACACACGGGACCTCGGTCTACCACAGCAAGGAGCTGAGTACTGCCAGCAACCTCGTGGGCCTGGCAGGGAACCCAGGCTCCTGAGAGGAGCGTGGTCCACCCAACAGCCGGACGGCAGCCCTGCGAGACCCGGAAGTCACACCCAAATTCCTGACCCAAGGAAACTGAGATTTTAAGCAGCTAAATTTGTGGTAATTTGTTACACAGTAATAGAAACTTCAGTACTGGTCATTTCTATATCAGCAGCTACTTACCTAAGAAATCGATTACTAGGATGAATGCTGATTCTGGGAACTGTGCTCAGTCTTACTCTTCCAATATGGAAATACATAATCAAACTTTAACAATACCTTTAATCTCATATTGCCATTCACATTTGTTTGTGGGCCTCTAGTGGATTTTCCAGTGTGGATTTCTAAATTGTCTGCCATGTTCGTATTAACATCCTTCTCTCCCTGAGCTGCATCCTCTACCCTCCAATGCAGACACTGCGGGTGGAGTCCCTGTTCCAGCCAGGCTCCCAGCTGCCCAGTAGCTGCTACTGCCTGAATACCAACAACCCAAGGAAAAGCCACAGATGGTGCAGAGGCAACCTCCAAGTTCCAGCTAAGAGAAAACTACAGTACAAGAAGAGCAAGAAGCACAGGCTTTTCACTGTTAATTTATCCCCCAGCCCTCTCCAAACCCATTAGATCATTAACATGAACTAGTGCACTGGCAGGTTTATAAAGCGAATGGGCAGTGGTCAATAAAAGCACTGTAATGCACTTAAGTTAAAAAAAAACAAAGGCAAATTTACATAATTAAGAAAAAGGAGACACACTGCAATAAGGTAGAATTTCCATGTTATTCAGCATAAAACATGGTAAAGAGATGTGAACAAAACCTGTCATCAATGCTAGTCATTTTTCAAAGGGTCGCCCACACCAGCTCTGCTACCTTCGCAGGAAGCACCCTTTGTGACCCCTGACTCCTAGGCCACCAAGACGGCTCTCACCATTACTTTGGTTTCCTTGGTATCTCAGACTCACAAAGGAGGAGCCTTGGATGAGGGACGCAAGTATTCCAATCACTAGAAACTGTGCCTAATTGTCCATGAAACTAACAGCCTGGTCTCAGTGCTTACAATGGGACTCGATGAGGAGATTCTGCAACAACAAGGCTCAGACCCAGACTCTGCTACTGAGGTAGGCAAAGGACCTCAAGAGACCCTGAACACAGTCCTGCTACTAACGCAGCAGCTCCAAAATAGGGATTTGGAACACAGCATTGCCAAATCTCATTTGAGCATCGAGGACATTAGCATATAAAAAAAAACTTTTCCTTTTAAAATGGCTAAAAATAATCTCCATAATTGAATGAAATACTGTATTCCACAGAATCTAAGACACTGATTGTAAAATGCAACAGTATATATATGAAAAAGAACTTTCAATTAAGTTTGTCACGATGTTAAATGATCATTGATTTTAAGATATATTCTGCTTTCAGAGATGTTAAAAATGTGGGAAAAAAGGTGAATTTTTGAATCAATGAAATTCAGAACTTAAAAAATTTATTCCTCAGGTAATTATTCAAATAAAGTAGTAAACACTGAGTTTCTTAAACTCACATGTATTTATAATCAGCAGCACATTCCTGAAGCTATTGATTTTATTTCACTTCTTGGAAATGAAGAGTGGAGTGGCACTTACACTAATTTCTAGCAGATACCTTACGCAAACTTTAAAACTTATGGATTCCTAGTTCGAAAACTGTCTTATTTTCACTTACGGAATCCCAGATCGAAAGATGAGGTAAAGGAGGCCTAGGCCAGGTGAGTGACCGCGTGCAGGGCCAGAAGGCCAGGAAGCGACAGTCAAGGCTTGAAGCCATGTCTATAGGGCCTTGTTCTGTGTTCTCTTCAAGGGAATCGAATCAAACGAGGCATCAGCACTCTGCGGCCCAACAGTACAGGCAGGGTAAAATAAGTAAACACAATCTCTGTCCAGGTTCAAAGAGGCTATTCTATGCAATGACTCTCTCCCACTTTCCTGGTAGAATACTGGTGATTGATAACTTGTTCAACTAATCAATCTTCTTTGCATGCTCTGAGAGGGGAAGACAGTAAAATATTACCTCATCAGCCACATGCCAAACACCAGCCTCACAAGATCCTGCTGCACGAGACCACTGGTTCTTCATGGAAGATGCTGGGAATTACAGAACATATCAAAACCTTCTAGTATGTGCTATACTCTGACCTAGACATTTCGACCCCCAAAGTGTGCTGAAAATCTGCTAATGCCCTGCTCTGGCTGGCTTCTTGAGAACTGGCAGTTATTCAAAAAGTCAGTGAATTATCCATCTCCTCTCAGTGCTAGTCCCTTTTGTCCTGGTTTCTTGAAAGCTGATCCACAGGGCACTTGCCAGTATTAACCGGGGAGAACTCACACACTAATGCGTGTGACTGGAACTGGTTGGAGATTTCCGCTGTGGGCTCCATCAGAATATTTCTAGATGTCTCTATTACAGAATTCCTCATTGTGTCATTCATTTCAATCACTTCAAAATCCATTTCATTCCATTTTTCTGCATCATCATCTTCATTCCCTTCCTCATAGTCATTTAGCCCAGGGCTTGGGAGCAAAGCTTTCTGGTCCTCACTTTTTCTGTGCTCTTTTCGCTGACGACTGAGCGGTGAGGTGGCTAACTTATACATCACAGGAAACAAAACAGCAGTAGCTACTGCCGCCCCCAAAGAGGTGTACAAAACCACAGGTAGATCAGGATATTTCCCTTGAAGAATTCCAATGACTGCAGGAATAGCCATTTCCCCCAGGGCAGCACCGACTACAAAAAATGCCGCTGCTTTCCCGTGGATGGTCGTGTACTGCTCAACCCAAGAAATACCGCTGGGGAACGTGGTCGCCATCGAGGCCCCATACACTGAACTTGCGACCCACAGACAAGTCGCATTCTTGTTAAAAATCACCAGAAATAAAGATGATGCCAGGCTGCCAATATTGCTCAACACAATCATCGTTCCAGGTTGTAAACATGTGGCAAAAAAGATGGCCAGGCCCCTGCAGGCTGCAAAGGACCCCCAGAATATGGAGTTCAGCCCAGCCGCTTCACTCTCGGCCATGCCGGCATGGGTGACTGCAAACGAGAAAACGTAAGAGCCATAGGTGACCTCGGCTCCGACATAAAAGAAGAAGAACACAAAAAGGAGACAAAGAAGGGCGTTGTGATATTTAGCTCTTCGGGACCTCTGGGCAGATGCTTTCACTTTTTCCTGCTGTGAGCTTTTCTTTAAAAACAGAGCAAACAGAAAGAGGCAAACTACAAAAATGTAAGTACCGATAATAACATACGCCCACAGCAAACGCATATTGCCAGGTACTCCGAACAGAGATTCTGAGTCAGCTCCAGGTGACTGGCTGAGAGACGAGCGGTTAGCGTCGGCCTCGGCCTCGGTGTGGTTTCCAGCCGCCGCCGGTGCGCCCAGAGCCACTTTAGCCAGCAGGGGAGCCAAAAAGGCCCCCAAGGCAAAACTGAAGTGTAAGGCCTGCATGTGTGGGGCTCCTGTGTCGCCCCAAATAGCCAAGATTAAGACGTTACCACCTACCGATGAAAGACAGAAAAAAATATTTAATCATGTAAGTTAGTAAAAAACAGTTCATTACTATCAGAAAGAAGATGAGTCTATTTTACATGGCACAAAGATTATAATATTCTAAGTTGTAAATGTCGCTGCTAAGCTAATTCTATGATTAAGGAACTCTAACCCACCACCACCACCAGAGAACTCTAAGCACTGTAACATCAAAAGTTCACAAATGGAATTCCACCCGCTACTAAACCACCGCCTCCTTGGGCCAGGCACAGGCGGCCCAGGATTTTTATAACCCAGTTTTAATGTCAGGCTGGGGGAGAGGGGAGTGTTTATATATTTGTGTATAAGTATTTCAAATACATATTATCATCAGGGAGTGGCCAAATTACCAACTCTTTCTGTACTTTCAATTGGTAGCCACTTGAAGAAAATGACCTATGTGCATAGCAGATGTAAGGCACGTGTTCAGGAATCTGAACGCTCCGGGATTCCGCTGTGCCCATTCCAGGAAACAAGGGCACTGCCTAGCACCGCATGTGCACTACCTGTGCGCCTGGCAAGGCGAGAGGCAAGAAGCATCAAGTCTTGAATTTTCTTTCTCTTTCATTTTTTAAATGTATCTATGGATAAATTCCACCCTGTAATTTTACAACCAAACTAAGCCTAAAGTATAAAATATTTCTTCAACCTTTCCAATAACAGTAGAGCAGACAACAGGAGGAGAAAGCTGGTTTTAGGGGTGAACAAATGTCATGTACGTTATTTAGTAGGTTTTAAAACGTATCAAGCTGGGGGGGGGACCAGAATTGAGGAGGGGGTGGAATCAATGAAATAATAATAAAATAAAACATATCAAGATACATGATACATAGAGAGGATCTCCTCCAGGAAGGCAGAAACTTTTGAGAGAAAAGGAAAAGAAGGAACATAACATTTGGCACAAGTTTCTCTTAGTTCAAAAGGCAGAGTGCACTTTACATGAAAGAGGTGTTTCTAGGATTCCCCAGCCAAACAGTTCTTCCCACACGGCAGTGATAAAGTTCTTCCCCAAAGGGAAAGCTCGCTCATCTGCAGGGCAATCACCCACATGGGGGCTGGCTAACGAGTCCGTATTCGGTGCTGTGATTCAACAATCTCTCACAGTGCAAAATTCTTTACATTCCCTCTGCTCAACAAGGACAGTGGTTACCAGGAGGGTTCTATTCTGTCTGGGTGACCCGGTGTCCCACTCAGCAGGTCAGTGTCCACCAGGGACACATCATCCGCTCCACTCTTTCTAGCAGCAAGTCTTCTACGCCCAGAGATGACGCCGAAAGGCTCACTAACCTGTATCCAGAATGCCAATCGAAACACCAAAGACGGCCATCATGACAACCAGCAGCACTGCCGTCTTACAAAGCGGCACGAGGTAAAGGCCCACGGTGGTGGCCAGCAACGACAGCCCTGAGGAGAGAGGGGAAGTCGGCTGTCAGAGTCGGTGCCCATGCGGATGGGCGCGGGACATGTTGGCATCGGAGAGGCTCGGCTTCTACAAGTGGTCATCTCATCTGAAAGCTTTTACAATCTTTATGGACTATAAAAATTATTCTAATGTGAATATATTTCTAGCACTACTAATAATCAAATTATAAAGTATACCACAAGGCAAAGTTTTATTGCAAAACAGACAGCTCAAACATTACTTACTTAAATGTTTCATATTTAAGGACCTAGAGAGAATTTTAGATCTGAGGAAAAAAAAAAAAGACAAAAAATGAAATGCAATTACTACAATACTTGGTAGTGAAATGGATTAAATAAGTTAGTTTGGGGGGTAGGGAGGGAAACCAAAGAAGTATATTCTTTCAACCCACTTTGGGAATCAGAGGATTATTTATCAACAATCAGTTTATTATTCATCAACAATAATAAATCATTCTCCTCCTTACTTCCAAAGCAATTTTATCACATTAATCCAAACTTTCTTTAAACATGTCCATTTGTTTTTTTAAAAAAGGAGTAAGTTAAAAGCACTGCCATCCCTTTCAAGGGTGAGGCACAGAAGTCTGGGCTCGTTACTGACAGGGGGCAGCAGGGACACAAGTTCTGCCTCTGTCATTTCACACCCGCACCACCCCTCTCTCTCCTCAGCGCGGGGTTTGGCTTGGGTAGTAGGTTCATGGAATTCATTTTGATCTGTGGTGACCCCAGATCTGCTCCAAACCCTGACAAGCAGAGCTTTTCAGATAGCCAGCCTGTGATCTAGGGCTGATGTCTAAATTCCAGTGACAGCTAGGAAGGCCAGGGATGGCTAAGCCACCCCAGGACGAATCTAAATGTCCAGAGGGGCCCAGCCCAGACTCCTTGAACTGCCAGAATGAAAGCAGGCAGCAGGGAAACCTGGCTTCTCCTAAGGACACCTAACACTACCCCCTTGAAGCATCAACCACTTGGCACGCAAGTATGTTTCATGTTTAAAAACAATTTGTAAATTCCTTGAAAGTCATAAAGCAAAATTTGTGTTTACTTACCCAAAAGTAAAAAATGATTCATAGCGTCAAAAAGAACTCCACCGATCACAGAGCCACTCAGATATCCAAAAGCACGGCCCACAAAAATCAGAGAAAGACTGCTGATGTTACGGTTTACATTTGCTGCCAAATCTGGAAATGTGGGTCCCAGGATAGAGACACTCAATCCCTAAAATTTTGAAAGACAAAAGCTTTTATTTATAATCATTAAATAATGTCTGTTTGGTAGCTCTTTTCACCATTCGAAAGGGAGGAGGGGGTGTGCCTGCAAGGCGCGGATCACCTGCAGTCCCACAGTCAGGAAGAACTCACGGCGACGGTGACGACGCCAGGGCACCTGGAGCTACACTCCTGATTCGGGGGCGCCAGCTCCTCCTGTTTTTCTAATTTTGACAACTCTCAATTTTTTAAATTTCTTTAATTCTCTTGGTTTTTGCTACAACTGTTTCTTTTTTGGACAATATCATACATGGCTATTTTGTATCAATAATAAATGTAATGTTGAGGTAATTTTTCAAATAGTTTTGTATATTTTGAAATATACTACATGTACAAATAACTAACACAAAAATTTAGATGTTAAAAATTTTAATTATTAACCCGTCAAAATATTACTTCCATTTTTGACGTTATTAAAACAGCAGTACTTCCGGATATACATGGGGTCCTTCCTCTGAATTACATCATATAAAACACGCAGGAGATATATGTTTAGAAACGACTTATATATTTCTAAATCCACATTTTTTATGTGTGTGGGGTTAGTGTATTTTTTCCATTACTGTTCATTCCCCTTATACCTTCTTCCACTTCCACCCACACCTCCCCTAAATCTATGCTTTCCTTCAAAGAAAAACCCGCTGCCATTAGAAGTTGTCTATAAGGCTTTCTTTGTAAATAGTACATACACATGTATACAATGACTTTAAAAATAAAATTTTACTAAAAGATAACATAGTGTTAGCAAGAATTAACAGTTTCAGTTGGCTTTCAGAGAAAACTTTTAAAAAATATTTCTAATTGGTCTACATGTCAAGAATAACTTACTCAAATTGCACTGCTGTGCTCTAAAGGCTTAGGTGAGTCCCCTGCCCACACCGGAGCAGTCCCCAAGGAAGGACCCATGCGCCTGGGCACAGGTGGAGAGGAAGCACCCTGGGGGGAAGCCAAACCCCAGCTGTAATCAAATTAGTTCCTACCCTCAGAGCTTTTACAACAGGATCTGGCACACAGTCAGGGCTCATCAAGCGTCTGCAGTTTTTCTTTTTTCAGATCAAAATATTCTAAGACTCTCCTCAGAAGACTCACCCTCCCAACTCCCCAGGGTCCCAATACTCAAGACAAGGGATGAAGGATAGGCTTCCGGAAATACGGGAATCACAGGGAGGCTAAGGGGATTGGCAAAAGCAGCTTCTAGCCTTGCAGTTTGCTCTAAGGAAAACATTGAAGTTTTCTTCATTAAGGATCTGAAGTTTGTTTTACATGGGATTGTGATCAAAATAAGAGAGATTATTTCTAGCTATACCACTTAACCAGCTGTGTCATCAGGAAAACTCACTGTCCCTCTCTGGCTCTATTTCCCTATCTGCAAAAATAAGGAGTTGGCTGAATTTGGTGAGAAGAGAAAATCCCAGAAAAACCAGCTTTGTGCAGTAATTTGGTTTGGAGGTTGGGAGGGGGCAGCGGCTATAGACCTGGCAACCCCGCTTGCATCTCCCCACCCCATACAGGAGAGGTAGCTAGGTTTGCTGGAGCTGGGAAATCAATCTTGCACTTGACAATAAACCTCCAAGATTAAATTGTACCCATTTTCCAGATTATGAAACTGAGGCTCGGGCAGATTAACGCGCTCAAGGTCAAGCAGTTTGCAAGCGGCGGAGGCGAGATCACATTCTTTACAGAAGGCCTGCTCATGCCCCGGCCCTGGAGGGCTCCAGCCCGGTTCTCACCAGCCCCAGGAAGGCGGCACACAGGATCACGGTGATGAACCAGCGCAGAGGGCTCCCGCCCCCGCCGCTCCGCCGGGAGCCTGCCACAGCCTCCGGTTCATTCTCCGCCGGGACCTCATCCTGGAGAAGCCGGTTCCCAGCAGCCGGGGACCCGGTCCCACGGAGTTCCAGATCCAACTCCAGCTTGGCGGCTCGAGAGAACCTGTCTTGCTACTTCCCGGCTTCTCAGCGGGGCCTCAGGAACTCCAAGCCTAGACCCGGCCTAGCGCCCCCAGAGCCGGCGGTCTGGGTTAGTGCCACCTCCCTGGGGCTGGCCCCTTATCAAAGCACACAAGTCAAACTTCGGAACCCGCCGGTCGCGGCAGGTTTCTGACGCGCGCCCTCCTGCACCCTACACGCCTGCGCGTATCACGTGATGGAAATCTGGCCACTCGCCAACCACGTCCTCGCCGCAAACCGGAAGTTGATATGGTTGCCTAAGAGACTGGACGCTGTACTCCCCCCCTTAGCGTCAGGCAAAGCTGGACCCGTAGAAGCTGGCGCCCCTTGGCGTAGTGAACTGGAGCTGCAGCCTGGGACCGGAGGAACCGTTATATGAAAATACGGAACAAGAATTGCAAGAGATGGCTTCGCGTCCGCTTCTCGGGCCTCTAGGGCGCAAAGGGAGCCCAAAGGTCTGTCCTTGAACAACTTTCTAAGATTCCCTCCCTCGCTCTTTGGAAATCTGTCGGTTATCGCTCACTTAACATTTATTGAAACGCACATGTAAGCACGTGTATAATCTCACTTATCCCTCGTAACACTGTAAATTCCATGTTATCCTCTTTTCACAAATAGGAGGATTAAGTCATAGACAATTAAGTAGCATCTTGCCCAAGGTCAGGGAGCAAATCCGTGGCTGTACATTATAACAGTATAACAGTACTCAAGGAAGAAATCTGGAACCAAAACTGCAGTTTCAAGCGCACTCTCACCCCAATCCCTGCAAACAATTCCGTTGTTTAGGGAAGTGGAACAGCGCATCAACTTGCAGAATGCCTTGAGTAAAGCTATGCCAGCAGAGAAGGAAAGGCTTTCTTTATCAGACACCAGCTCTTTGTTTGCTCTTCGACCAGACCACAGCCTCAAAATGTATATTTTTCTTTACCGTCTCTCTGAAATATTTTCCACCCGATCCTCTCTAATCCATTTAGGCTCCCAGACTACAAACCTGAGTCTCATTATCACTGCCCTTACAACCCATATCTCCAGCCCCACCATCCACTTGGTCATTACTTCCCTTTGCAACGTACCTCAGAAAGTATGCCGATGCTATGGTTTAAAAGAACCTGTTTTTTATTTCAGAGGCAAGAAAGGTCCATTTGAGCCCTGGTTGATGTAGCTGAGTGGATTTAGCGTGGTTCTGTGAACCGAAGGGTCACCAGTTCAATTCCCAGTCAGAGCACATGCCTGGGTTGCAGGTCAGGTCCCCAGTACTGGGTGCTTGAGAGGCAACCACACATTGATGTTTTTCTCCTTCTTCCCCTGCCCTTTCCCTCTCTCTAAAAATAAATAGATTAAATATTTTTTTAAAAAGTCTCTCTGAGTTTGATATGGTTGAAACAGAATAGGAAACAGTGTGGGAGAGGTAGGTTAGGTAGAAATTGTAAAGGGTTCTATAAGCACACAGAACGCAGTTTAGACTTGAGCAACACGCTTCTACTGGCGCGCTGAGATCTAATGAAATTAAACATATTGGTAGGGATTCAAGCTTCACCAAATTTCATCTTTATCCCCTCAATCTGAACTCACCTTTTTTCTCAGCAAACCTGCTCCTATTCTGACATGCCCATCCACTGTCCCAGCCCAGTCATGAGGAATCTGAGGTCCTCCCTTGACACTTCCTTCTTTCTCTCTTGTCGGTTCATCACCTGGCCCTGGCGATTTTATTTCTACAGATCAGCACCTTTTGACTTTTTTCATCTCATGGCACATATAAACTAATCACTAAAATTCTGCAGCACACCAAAAAAATATATTTTTTAGCCTAGCTAACAAAAAAATAGGTATAATTTTGATTCATTCCCACTGGATGGCTATTGTTGTGTTGTTTGTTGTCATTTTTTTTAATTTAACAATCAAGGGAAAAGAGGTCAGTGCCCCTGACTAAGTGGTCAGATGCTGCGCATTTTAGACATTCCTGCAGCACACCTGTTGAAAATCACCGCTAGAGATGTTTCTGACATCGAGCTTCTGTTCTATACTATTATCATAGCCTGCTTTTAAAACTTTTACCCATAAGTATCTAACTGAAATGAAAATCTGCTACATAAAACCCTCCAACTCTTCCCTAAGGATAAAATCCAATTTCATCTGCCATCGTCCACCTCTCTAGCTTCAACGCCTCACTCCCCCTATCTCGTTTCCATTCCAATAACTAAATTGCTGTTAGTTCTTTTTTTTTTAAGATTTTAATTAATTTATTTCTTTTTAGAGAGGAAAGGGAGAGAGAAAGACAGAGAGAGAGAAACATCAATGTGCAGTTGCTGGGGGTCATGGCCCACAACCCAGGCATGTACCCTGACTAGGAATCGAACCTGTGACACTTTGGTTCGCAGCCCGCGCTCAATCCACTGAGCTACATCAGCCAGGGCTAAATTGTTATTAGTTCTTCACACATTATTTCTCACTTTCTTACCTTTGATCATATTGTCCTCTCTGTCTCAAGTGCCTTCTCTCTCTTTTACCTGCTGTGGCAGAATCTTTATACTTTCTTCCTAAGTGATTGTTGTAACTCAGCAATTTCACAAGTGGTGTGCCCCGGAATTTTTAAAACATGTAATACCTGACTATTTAGTCACAGGCCCTGACCTTTTACATTGTAGAGATGCTGGATCCTGTTAAAATCCTTCTCTGGAAAATGTATGTTTGTTTAAGCAGGCAGTCAACCTGGTCAAATTCACATTGCCAGTTTCCTACCACCTTCCTGGGTGATGGGTTGCAATCTCAGTTCAGTTTTCAAAGCCTCTGCTCTGGGTCTGTCCTAAACACATACCACTCAGGGGTCAATCTGGGACTTGGGCCAGTTATTAAAGTCTTTGCTAGGCTCCTCTGGGTCTCTTTTTTTTTAAGATTTTATTTATTTAGTTTTAGAGAGGGAAGGAAGGGAAAAAGAGAGAGAGAGAGAGAGAGAAACATCAATGTGTGGTTGCTGGGGACCGTGGCCTGCAACCCAGGCATGTGCCCTGACTGGGAATCTAACCTGCAACACTTTGGTCCTCTGGGTCTCTTGCACACAAGTGCAACTCAGGACTGAACCCAAGACTTGTGCGGCTCATGCAGAAAATTAGGGTCCCCTTCCCTACCTCTCTCCATCCTCCAGACTGCGCCTACTTTCCAGCTCACAGGGGCTTCTTTTCTCAGTTCCTTGGACCAGACATACGGGGTTTCTGTCAGAGTTTCAGCTATCCTTGATACCAAATGGGGCCCCACCGTAGCACTAAGCCATAAGAATAAAAAAGAAAACCCTGGCCAGGTATATCAGTTGGTTGGAGTGCTGTCCCATACACCAAAAGTTGAGGGTTCAATCCCCAGCCAGGGCACATACCTACACTGCCAGTTGGATTGCCAGTTGGGGCATGTATGAGAGGCAACTGATGAATGTTTCTCTCTCACATCCATGTTTCTGTGTGTGTGTGTGTGTGTGCATGCATGTGTGTGTGCATATGTGTCTCAGCATATCTATAAACATATCCTTAGATGAGGATTAAAAGAAGGAGAACGAGAAGGGAGAAGAAAAGCCAGGAAATTTACCCCCTTGCAGGTTTCTTTTCTCGGGGTCGACCCATTTATATACTTTTTGGAGTCCTCCGGCAGTTGATATTTGCATTTCGTTTTGAGTTTTTAGTTGTAATCCATAGGAGAGATGGGCTAGAGTAGGCTTATGATGCCGAAGCTAAACCAGAACTACTCCTACCTGTCTTTTAAGAATCAGCTGAGGTATCCTTCCTCTAAGGTGCTTTTTCTGACCCTCTTCTTGGCCTTGAGGCTGTTTTAGTCTTCCTCCTTTGTGCATAATTCTAATAGTCCACCTACCACCTCACACGGAGTTTTCCTATTTATGTGTCATCTTCCCACCATACTGACAGTGCCAAAGAGAAAGCACTGTGTCTTATCTATCTTTTATCATAGTGCCTGGCACACAGTGGGTCTTCAGTAACTGTTTGTTGAGTATAGTAGACTTATTCTGAACAACCTAGCCAAAAAAATCTGAATTCCTATGCAGCTGTGCCCTGCACGTTCTCATACACTCCCGCTTGTCTGAGAGTTCTGGCAGACCTCGTGTTTAGCCCCGAGTGGGTTGTAAGCTCAGTGGGATGGAAACAGACAATGGGTCTAATGTTTCTCTCTCCTCTGCAGCATTGTGTTATATGCTTAATGAATATCACTTAACTGAGTCAAGGTTCAGTAAACTAATTTTATTTTTTTAAGATTTTATTTATTTATTTTTAGAGAGAGGGAAAGGGAGGGAGAAAGACAGGGAGTGAAACATCAATGTGTGGTTGTCTCTAGTGCCCTGCCTACTGGGGACCTGGCCCACAGCCCAGGCATGTGCCCTGACTGGGAATCAAACCAGGCACCCTTTGGTTCACAGGCCCGCACTCAATCCACTGAGCCACACTAGCCAAAGCCAGCAAATTAATTTTAAAATGAAATGTTTTAGGAGCACCTTTCTATTTACTAGGTGGGGTGCTGCCCAAATCATGTTATGAAATGTTGACTAAAGCCAATTAGATCTTTAAAAAAATTAAATGTTTTAATTCACCCTGATTAAACTCCAAAAATAAATTCTCTAAAGGGAAAGATGTACTTTCTAACTCTTCCCCACTTCACTCCTAACAGTAGGACACTTTTTCCAATTGCCTCAGGGGGGTCACTCACTGTCTTTACAAAGGGGTGGGGGGCTTTACTTCAGACAACTCAGGAGAAATAAAAATGTTGACAGGTCATTTTGTAAATTGGAAATAAACATAGCTTTATTGGTTACCTTGAAAATGGAACCATTTTACAGTCTATATGACCATTTACCTAACAGGAAACTATCTGGATCATGGGCACTAATATGGTACCATCTTGGCATGTTTGTGAAATGGCAACAAGGAGGCAGATTTTTCATCTTTCACTTGAAATATTAGTCTGGGTGAGTGTGAGGAGCTAGATGGATTGTGTTTGGGGCACTGTCTCATGACCTACTTAATCTTTATCCTCTGGAGGAACCAATTTTTTACACTGATCAAATGGTGTCTAGTTAGTGCTTACAGCTCGTCATGAAAAAACTAGCTGTCCTAACTACTGCCTTTGGTATGCCCGTATCACCCTGTAACCTCGTCACTAACAGCCCAGCCTGTTAAACCCAACTCTCCCCAAGATTTAGTTTCAGTAAGATAACTTTTATGTTTGTGCCATGTACCTTGAAAATGTAGAAATAATATCTAAAATATCTGACTGACATCAGTGTCTGTTAGATGTATTTTTCTTATTAAAAATAAAAACTTACTGATTTTGAAATTAAATTTCCTTTTAAAAAACATAAACTTAGAATTTCCTTTAACGGGATCATTCTGACACTGAAGACGACAGGATTTTCTCAATCTGCCATCCTAATGGTCTCCTGTGCTGTTACTGATCAATAAAATCTTTGTTTTGCTGTACTATTATTAGCCAAAATCAATTTATCAAGAGAATAAAAACAAAGCAAGGATCATAGCTACCTTAGGCTCTGCAGAAAACAAAAATAGACTAACATTTCGTGAAGTACCGAGAGCTTCAGAAGCGATCAGAGTCATCTGCGTAAAGAAGAAACCACTCCCAGTGCTCTCTGAGTGACATGGGCTTCCTCCAGTTCTGTACAGAAGAGGCCGCTCAACTGAAGCTAGAAACTTTGCCCTGGAACAAAGGAAAAGCTGGAAATCACAGATGGCTGTCAGCCATTCTAGTTTGATCACTGCCATCTATTACCACCCTTGATACTCACTACCTGCTTGGAAAGTTTCCAAAATCTGTGTAGAAATCCCCATAGAGACAAGGACTATCATGTTGCTAAACTAGGAACAAATACCAGCAACAGTATTTCTTTTTAATTTCTAAAGCAAACCATATAAAAGCCCACCTTGATTTAGTTGTCAAATAGTTATTAAATACCTATGCCAGACATTGTTCTAACAATGAACACATGAGCACAAACTTCTTCCCTCATGGACAAGACAAAGAACAACTGCATTTGTGGTCAGATAATATGATGTCAGATGGTGATGAGTACTCTAAAGAAAAATGAAGCAGAATGAAGTAGATTAAGTGATGGGAGGGGGTTAAATTTACTTCATGTAGTATTGGGGAAGGCTCCGGCGAGTGACAGGTGAACAGAGCCCCAGCTGCAGTGAGAGAGCCAGCTGTGCGGGAAGAGTGTCCCAGAGAGAGCAGCTGTGAGGGTCCCATAGCAGGAGAGAGCGTGCTGCACTGGAGAAATGACATAAGGCCAGAGTGGCTGGAGCAGCGTGAGTGGAGGGGAAGGTGGTAGAAAGTAAAGGCAGAAAGCAAGCAGGGCTCCTGAGTGTGCAGGCCTTAGGTGAAGGACTTGCTGGCCATGTTGAAAATACAGACAGGGGCAGGATGGAGAGCAGAGAGAACAGAGGCCCAATCAGTTAGCTATGGGGTTACTTACATCAGATTTGTGTAGGTGGTGAGAGTGGTCAGATTTGGGAAACACAGTGCGGATTAAAACAATAGTATTTGCTAATGGACTGAGTGTATAAGAGAAAGGATATTTTTTTAAATGACTTCAAGGATTGTGACTTATGTCAAAGAAAAACCAGAGCTGGATAGCAGTTAAACCTGTAATAACTGATTTTATTCTGGAACTATTGCAATAGGGGGAGAGAGACCTCAGTTTGGAACTGGGCTCGATTTTGAATACCACGAGGAAAAATGGAATTGATTGCCAAGGAGTGAGGTTGGGGACGCAGTCAGTGGATGGAAAATTATTAAGAGGAAATACCAGGGATGAGGGGGGACTCTGGCTGACCTGGCCTAACAGAATTCTTGCTGAAGGCAGCCAGGGGTGATCAGATGTCACCGGAGGGATGATGGAGGATGAGGAATCCAATCAGATATCAAAGTGATCAATATGGAGGGTGGGAAACTGGCTAAGTCAACCTAGCAGAATTCTTGCTAAAACTGGGCAATGTAATGATGGCCATGGAAATCCAAAAGTCAAGGCCTTGTTGGGAAGAGGATCCAGGAGAGCCCAACTAAAGAATGGTCAAGGAGAGATTCTTCGTCTCCTAAACAACTGGTGCATACTGGTCCCTTTATTCAGGTGGAAAGGAAGGAGCATGAATTCTCCTGGGAAATGGGACAAAATCAGGATTCGGGGTGAATGCATTGTCACAGTATTAGAGAATTAAACGATGGCATCGAGTGGAAGGCTGGACGGTCTGCCCAGTGGGGGGGTCAGAAGGGCAGACATAAGCCGGGAGTTGTCCGTGTGTAGGTGGTATTGAACATGTGTAGCTGGGTGGGGTCACCTAAATTGTAAGTATAGACTGAGAGGGCCAGGGCAGGGCCCCTACTCGGGGCACATGGGAGAGGCAGCCCAACAATGCTTCTCTCTCATAACGATGCTACTCTCCCTTTCTCCTTTCCTTCCCCCCTAAGAATAAATACAGAAAATCTTCAAAAAAAAAAAGCTATCATAAGTGCTGTGTTTTAATCATTCTTTAATATAATCATTATACCCAAAACTAGAATATAAAAATTCACTGCAAAGGTCCATTGTAGACATCTAGGAGGAACTGAGAGTGAACCCTGGGCCAGTGAAGGAAGGATTTAATAAAATCCAAGGTGAACAAATTAAATTATTCAAAATTCATTGAAGAGTTGAGTCAGAAAAGGCTTGGGAATTTGCAAAGAGAAGCTGCGGCAGAGTAAGTGAAGGGCAGAGAGAAAACTAAGCGTTGTGTGTGCCAGACCCGCTGACGGGGTTCAAGGGAGGTGAAGGTGGGGTCAGCACCGGGCATGGGAACGACACTGAGAGGCCCAAATGTTGGGACCTTGCAGAGTGGGTTCAAAAATAATGAGTTGTCCGCTTTGAGTAGAAAGGCCTTTCAGAGTAGCAGGTAAGTCCAGCAAGGCATTTGGGGGCCAGACTGTGAAGGACTTTGGAAATCACACTGAAGATGATCTTCTGACTTTAGGAAACTATAACACGCAGGCCCTCTCTTCAGCCCTGGAGCAGCCACACCAGCCAGGCTGAGCCCAGTCCCGACCCTGGTATTGCCACCTCCCTCCAGCTGCACCGGCCAACCTCTCTAGGGAAATGTTCCCTAGATGGAGAAGGTCCGTAGCTAATGTTGACATGTTTGGAAATCACTCATTTGGTCAACAAATAATTATTGAGCACCTACTCCATGAAAGGCACTTTTCTGAATGTTTAGAGATAAAATAATAGACCAAAAAAAGAAAACCTACCCTTGTGGAACTTATAGTCTAGTAAGGAAGTCAGACCACAAATGAGATAAATAAATATATGGTATGCTAGTGAGGAGTAACTGCTAGCTAATGAGGAAAAAAAATACATTGCAAAGGGAGTCATGAAGTGTTGGGGGTGGGGGGTTAAAATTTAAAAGGGTAGGGAAGGCCTCACAGAGGGAAGAGATTTTTGAGTAAACCCCGAAGAACTCGACAGCAACCCAAGAGCCAGGAGCTGGGCCGGGGGAAGAGCAGCAAGGGCAGCAGGGAAGGATGGAAGGGCAAGGAGGCAGAGCGGACCAGGAGGGCAGGGCAGGAGATACAGTCAGACATGTAATGGAGGCCAGAAAGAGTGAGGTTCGCTGGCCGTGGCGAGGACTTTTTTTTGAGAAAGAGAGGGAGCCACAGGAAGATTCTGAGCAGACTGATGGCGCATTTTCACAGGATCACGCTGGCTGTTCTATAGAGAATAGACAGAGGGGACGCAAGGGAAGAGAACAAAAAACAAAAGAGGTCAGTCGGGCTGGCTAGAAGCAGAGTGGTAGCAAGTGGGGCAGTGAGAAGTGGGGAGAGACTCTGATATTCAGGAGTTGAGCCAGTAGGGTTTGCTGGCAAAGTAGAAGAGAGCGTGAGAGGAGAGGAGTTCAGGGGGTCAGATGACTCCAAGGCTTTTGGTGTGTACAACCAGAAAAGTGAGTTTGCCACTATCTGAAATAAGGAGAGTTGCAAAAGAGGCACATTTAGGAGGGAACATCAGGAGCTCAGTTTTAGATATGTTGAGACATTCTTTTTGTCATCCAATTAGAGGTGCTAGGTTGGCAGATATAGGTGGCTGGAGTTTAAGGGAGAAGTGTGTGCTCCATCAACATCTAGGTAGTAATTCGTCAGGAGACCTTAGGATGAGGTCACCCGGAGACTGAGTATGGACAGGCTAGAGGAGCGGTTCAACACTAAGCCGTAACACACTCTCAATAGTTATAGGTTGGGACATGAGCAGGACCCAGCAAAGCAGGCTGAGAGGGAGTGGCTAGAAAGACTGGCGGAAAATCAGGTAGGTGTTGTGCTGAAAGCCTGATTCAGATATCAGGACTGGTTCAGTGAACCACATAAAATGAGGAGAAATGACTACTGGAGTCAGTGCTGTGGAGGTTGTGCAGGTCCGTGGTCACCTCGTGAAGGGCAGGATCAGTGTAGTGGATTCAAGAGAGACTGGGCGGAGATGTAAAATTGGAGAGAGTAAGTAGAAATTTCTTCCAGAATTTTGTTTGGTTGTTTTTCTTTTGTAAACGGATGGAAGGAAATGAGGCAATGGCTGAGGGGGTGTGGGGGTTTAAAAGAGGTCTCCCCCTCTCCCCCAAGCTAGGATGTATATAATAGCATGTACATATATGCTGATGGAAATGATCCAATGTGGAGAGGGGAAAAAATGACAGTGCGAGAGAGAGAAGAGACAGTGGAGGAGGCTGGAAATGTTTGATTGGTGAGGGGCAGGGGTGATGTAGGGGTGCCTAGTGAGGGGAATGTTCAGGGAGCCAATTAGAGTTTTGCAGATCCCGGGGTTAAGGGCTAGGGAACAGAGTAACTGAAGAGATCTGATAGATGGAGACAGGATGGGGATTGGAGGGAATGCAGGAGTCAATGGGACGATGACCTCCAAGTCGAAGGGCAGGCCCCATGGGAGTGAGGAAGATGGAATACAGTGATGCGAAGCCGTGGTAAGAGAGGTATGTTGGTATCTACGATTTCAAAGATGAAGCCATTGCCAGAGATAAGGTTCCAAGTGCTTCCGTTAATTATAAGTAGAAATAAAGTTGTGCCACAAGAATATCGAACATTGGACCACATGCCAGTGCTGGCACAGCTGAGGGTTATACGGGAGCGACCCAGGGGACACACAGATGACTGTGACGAGGACAGGTAAAAGGTGGTAGAGCTGGAAGGGATGAGCACAGAAGGCGGAGGGCCCGGGTACAGAGACCATGGTGCCAGACAGTGAGCTTCCTGTCCCTGGAAGGGACCAAGAGGATGCTGGTGACACTTGAGGATTTTAAAAAATGAAATCTTGACTTTAAAGTTTTAGGTTCATCGGTAGGACACTATGAGAAGAGAACAATAAATAATAAGTTTGACACTACGGTGCTGGCTGGTGTAGCTCAATGGATTGAGCTCGGGCTGCAAACCAAAAGGGTCATAGGTTCGATTCCCAGTTGGGGCACATGCCTGGGTTGTGGACCAGGTCCCCAGTAGGGGGCACATGAGAGGCAACCACACATTGATATTTCTCTCCCTCCCTTGCCCTCTGTCTAAAAATAAATAAATGAAAAATTTAAAAAACAAAAAAGATAAAATTTAAAAAATAAATTTGATACTATAATTAGATTTTCTGTATATATTAAAATTCTAATTTATTCCATAAAACTTATTTTTTCATGAGAGTGAACTTCATTTTGCTCAGAATCAGTAAGTCTGTCATAACCATTCTCTCCCAGTTTTCTCAAAAGTCCTCAGTAGCCTGCACACTCTGGTACTCATATGCAGGCAAGGAAGCAATTGTTGGATTAAATGGTGAATTTCCTGTTCTTGAGTTTAATGTAAAAATCTTTTTAAGATTTATTTTTAGACAGAGGGCAAAGAAGAGAGAGAAATATCAATGTGCGGTTGCCTCTCATGTGCCCCCTACTGGGGACCTGACCTACAACCCAGGCATGTGCCCTGACAGAGAACTGAACCAGCAACACTTTGGTTCACAAGCTGGCACTCAATCCACTGAGCCACACCAGCCAGGCTCTTTAGCACCATTAAACATAAATGATGATTTACTCTGTAGTTAGGGCTCAGCAGCTTATCAACACCATCTGAATGTGGGTAATCCATAATAACAGGGGATTGCTTTTTTTAAATATTCCAGCCTGGTTCTTGCTCATCCCCTGACATTATGAATGAGCAGGAGGTCACCCAGTACTGGCTGAAGTTGGTAAGTAAAATCAGTGTAAGTAAAAGAAACAGTAATGTGTGTTAACTACAAAACAAGCGTCGCAGAAATAGTTTTTGGACTACACAGAGCTTCTGGGTCCTGTCTATCCCTGTCCTCTGTTCCAGAGAAGGAACCACCCCCAGACGTACTTGGGATACACAGAAACAGCTTTAAAAGCACACAGCTTATTTTTCCTTTTATTCAGCACAGACTGTTTTCTTCACTTTAGTAACTTTTTCTTCCCTTTATTCCCCGGGAATTTCATGAATATAATCACAAAGCCTTATAGAAATTTGCTAGATTTTTTTATTGTATTTACTGAATATATCACATTGTTCCACAGTAAAATGATTACAAAGCTCTTTTCATTCAAAAGATGTGGGTTATATATTAAACTATACATTATAAAAATCAATTCTAAATTATACTCTTTAAAAAGAAACATTTTTAAAAGGCACATACTAAAATACTGCATGCTGATCAGACCCAACACAATCGTTTCACACTGAGATCCGCATCGGAACAGCTGTTGTGCCTGCATGGCGCCCTGTACCCGGGGAGGGAGGCAGAGCTGCGCCGTGGGCTCAGCACGCCCTCGGAACAATTTGGTTCTCACGTCTAAGACAAACCTTGTTTCTCTGAGTTTGAAAATATGCAAAATAATTTAAAAATTACTTTTCAGATAAATATTTAAACAGGTTGGCATGAGAAAGGTCATATTATACTAGGAAATACTGAAGGTATCTGGGCTCTCCCTTAGCAGTACTGCAGGGCTCAGTCTGCAGCAGCGGTAACTTCCAGGCTGAAGTAAACGAGCCGGCAGGAGAACAAGCTGACAGAATGCAAATTCACCCAGCATCGTGCTTGCCCAAGCTTACATTTCTCAAACCACAGTATATGAACAGTTACATCAGAAGTAATTTTAAAGGGCTATTTAATTTCACTCTACTGTAACTTCCGATTACGAAGCCCCCATTCTCCCTTCCACATGTTAACAGCAGAAAGGCACTCTCGACTAAGAGAATCCAGTAAACTCTAATAGATTCTGAACGTATGGTCTTCCTGATTAGGAAAATGATAGTGTGTACCATCATTTTTCTAATTTATATTTATCAAATCCTCATAAAACAGAGTTAAGGCAAAGTCTATAAAAGACAGCAGGATTAAATAAAAGCCTGTGGTCCCCACTTCATCTGAACCCTGCAGGCAGGTCCGTTAGGGCCAGCATCCACCTGGAATCGAGTGGACAGTTACGAGAGTGCCACAGGGCCACATGGCCACAGCCATGATGCGGGACCAACCCCCCTGCTCACCCAGAGGTCTGGGATCTGCTGACAGCGACTCAGAGTCCTGACCATTTAAGTCTCTGGGTTAAATCTGAAGGATGAACAATGATACTTTCAGTGTGAAGTTTCTTTTAAAAATGTAACTCATTATCCAAGTTTTAAGACTGATGACTCCCAGAACTCTGATTTTAGCCTGAGAAATACCTTAAAATACCTATTTAAAGTTATTTTGTAAATATATAACTATATAGTAAAATATACATATTTTTTTTTTTACATACCCTCAGAGTTACAGAATGCTTTTAGTATCTCACACCATGCTAGAAACACTGACCAGAGATGTCTGGAGGCCATGTTCGTCAGTATGTTTTCATTTGGTGATCACTTTCTTTGACATTTCCCACTTTCAAGCCTTATGTGTTTACAAAAATCACACGCCCCCAAGTAGACATCTGAACTCAGGAACTGCCTTACAGATCAGGTGTCTTCCTCAGATGCACACACAACATGCAACATACGCAGCGCTGCTGGGTCTCACACTTCCTGTTGTGTTATACATACTTTAAGAGAAAAAATAATTTTGAAAGAAGCATGAAATTTAGCACCAATCGTGATTGAATCTTTCTTTGGTAGAGGGAAAAAGGCACCAGGACCACCACCAGCTCATAGCCTGGGGTCAGAATACAGCACTCTCGCCAAGGAGCCCCAGTCCCTGAAATCACGCACCGATGCAGGCTGAGCAGTGACCGGTGCGCTCACCCATTCCACTCCTGCAGCACACCCCAGCCAGAGCACACCACGGAAGACTGCACGGAGGGCAGGCCACAGGAAAAACAGGTTTGTGTTTACACACATGTAAAATACTTTTAAAATCCACTCCTTCAATAACTGACAGATACTGGAAAGTACTACTATCTGGTAAAGAATAAAAGTCATACAGGGTGGGGCAAAAGTAAGTTTACAGTTGTGAGTACACAAAACAGAGTTTATGCTTCTATTATTATTTATTATTATATTAGTTCCTATACAAACAATTACAAACCTACTTTTGCTGCGCTCTGTATATTAGAGGCCTCAAAATAGTATTACATACCTAATTTGATTTCTTAATGTTATTTTATATAGATAGTTCCTCTCACTCACATGCTCAGTGACGTTCAACTCCAAAATGCCCCTCCCACAGAACTAATATTGAGAGGCTGGAAACATCTTTAATTCACTTGGGAACTTGTGGGTTAACCTCCACACCATAGATACAGTCAACAACAGCATTTTCAAAGACTCCAGAGACAAAAAATCCTTACCACTAGGAAAAGTGGGCCTTTTATAGAAGTTCAACATGTAAGTTATTGAGTTAAGGCACAAGCATACAATCTGTTGTCATCGATCACCCCCCATCCTGCCAAAGAAAACACGAATGAGAACAAAACCTCATCGTCAGGCTGCCCGTCTAATTGGAAAAGCTGTGGGTAAAGCATTTAGTAAGTGTTCAGTATTACACACAGATCTTTCCTTTGTTAGATTATCCACAGGCCACATTAGTTAATGGTCATTTTCTGTTCCTTTTATATCTGTTTGTCGGAACAAAGCACTTAAGAAATTTTACTATTTTGACCCCCTTAACTCCTTGCACCCCCTCGCCTCGTCATCCCAGAATTGAGAGTGTCATGGTCAAGTACTCAAAAAGGTTTTACTTAATTCCCAGTATCTTTCCAATGTCATAATAAAAAATTAAACTCTTCCGTGTCATAAAAAAAAATGAGGTAGTCTTACATCTGTCAAGAAACTAATACCATGGGGGATTTCTGTGAATGTGTGGGGGTCAAAATGATTAATGTTCACTACTTAAAAAATGGATTAATTTAACAAAGAACTAGCTAAGTAAACTACTATGTCCCAGATTTCAAGGTTTCTTTGAGTGATTCGAAGATATGGCAATATTGCTCCACGGGTCTTCACTGTCTTAGAAGGAGCCAGCCATCTGCTAAGTCCACATTTATGACACTTCAGCAGCTGTGGTTCTGAGCTGTATTCAGGTCTCACATTTAGCTCTGGGCATCTGGCCCTTTATTCCTGAGCACTGCAACCTTTCACTCTCCAGTGTGTTTATAAACCAAAGCATTAGCCTCCACCAGCAACTGAAATGATGAACGTGGCCGTGGCTATGAAATAATGGTGAGCCCAGAGCTGCCTGTTGTTGCTGTCCGCCTTGAGATCGATCCCGGCCCCCGAACCATTCTCCGACTCTAGATGGTCTTATTTTCCTTTTACCAAATCATCAGCAACAAAATAATCGGTGAGTGTAACATGGGCAGAATGAATGACTGTCAGTAAAGAGACAAGCCCTCCTCCTATGGTATGCTCTTATTCCACACACCACATCGCCGTTGTGAATGGCAAATCATTGTTTTAGTGACAAAGCAAAAGGTTTGAGTTTTTTAAAGAGTTAACTAAGCTATATGAATGGTGCATTTTTCTGTTAGCCAAGACACCACTTGTCTTTCCAATTAAAATTACTACAGATGTAAAAAGAAATAACGTTCTTTTCCTCCCACTTTTGCGTACTGGAAAAAAGCAACAATCTTTAATCTAATACAGAAATTGCTCCTTAATGTTTATGGCAGCAACAATAAAGTTTTCAGAAAGGGTTTACTGGAATTTCTGAAAGGGTTTAAATAAGTTTTAAAGACTTATTTAAGTCATTTACATATTTAAAAATTGGAGCTAATTAGCTCATCCCTTCCCCTTTGTGTTGTGCCCCTAAACCCACCAAGTGTGAGCCAGCCAGAGGCAGGCTCCCCGGGGACCGCATCCAGGAGGCCCCCACAGCCCAAGGCACCCTCCACGGTGTGCTCTCAGGACTAAGATTTAGCAAAACTTTAAAGGAATAGGACAATCAAAGTAAAAAATTATGCCCTTCAAAAATATGTATGCTAAGAACTTGACAGTCTTTTCTCTGAAAGCACTAACCTTAAACATTTCAATAAAGTTTTATATGTTAGCACAAAGGAGGCCAATTATATGAAACTTAATACCCCCCCAAATTTTAATCACATAATTTTAAAAAATTTCAATGTATACCATTAGCACTCTCAGTTGAAAGCAGATATTTGAAGGATATGGGGAAGTAAAGGGAAAAAGAATGATAAGGATGAAGATAATACGAGAGAAGACATGTTTAGTTTATAATTACAATTGTATATTTACTTTAAATGTGTGAAAAGTTGAAGCTAATAGCATTAAAGGTTTCTCCACACTTGGGCAGAGCCCATGGGATCACCCACAAACAGATAATGTACGGATCATGAAATGCAAATGAACAGAATTGAAAGTTTAATGCAATCACTATGCAATTTTCAGTGAAAATCACAAGTCCTGTAGTAGGGCTATAGACTAAGCATTGCAACTATATCAAAGCGATTTATAGACTTTAAATAAAGTATCAATAGCCTGAAATGGATGGATCCCAACAATATCCACTGCAATAAAATTTAACCAAACCTTTTCTGGAACATCCTTGGGCATCGGCTACCTGTGTATCTGATCCAGCATCTCTGCAGAGAAGAACACTAATTGTTCCCCTTTTTATGTTATCGTTGACCTCAAATGCAAGAAACTCGTAAATGTGAGAATTTACGGAGTGCTGTCAGAAATAGGATGATGACCTGGAAAGCAGAGTTCTGACTCTGTTATTTTCCTCTCAAAATAGTGTCTGAATTTAACTTAAAAAAAATTAGCCCCATCTAAAACTCTGTTCAGAATTAGAAATAATTTACTTTGATGGAAAGATTAATATTTCTGTCTGAAACTAATCTTTATGGATATTTGTATTTTTCATTTTCTTAGTTTGCAGAGCTTTTAGAACTTCATAGACTTTGAGAGCTTTTTGTACCAAACAACATATTACTAAATATGCATTTTATGGAATTTAGCATTTTACTTTTTATACGTTTTCTTTTTAACTTTATATTATTACAGCACAGTACTCTCCATAAGAGTCTATCATAATAGAGCTTTTCTGGTGTTCTAGATCCTAGCTGACTCATTCCACTGGACTAAAAACTACATATATGTGATATTGTATGTGTAATAGTCTGAGATCTAATTTTTATGATCAAAACTTAAGTGACTTTTCTTTTATTATGAAAACTAACAAAGCAAGGTCAAGTCTTCGAGTTTCAGATTACCTCTCCCCCCTAAAATCAGCCAAATTTGGAAAGGAAAGTACTTTGGAAGTCCTTACTGAGTAAATATTCTACTTTAGAGTTATTCTTTCTATAAAGTTGCAGATGGGCGAGTCCTAGGAGTCTCAGGCAGTTTTTACGATTGGTCTTAGTTATATGTTCTTACCTATCTCGAAAGCACTGTTAATGAGGAAATGATGTTTTTATAACTAGGCATGAGTAAATGAAAAACCCAATCACGTATCATATCACCTCTAAGTCATTTTCTAAAAGTTTAAAATAAGAATATAAGAGGGCAGTGTGATCAAATGTAAATTTGTGGGGTTTTTGTTTGTTTGCAACAGAAACTTCTGAAAAACAAATTACCTAAGTCCCCTAAACATGAAACATGAAAATATTGGAAGTAGTAAGTTGCTGAGTGTTTTCACAAAATTATTTAAAATCCTACTAAAAATCATTCCAAATTCAATGTTTATATACTTTGAACTCTCAAGATCGCAGATAAGAAAGTTGATACTGAAAGGAAAGTTACTGGGTTTTCTAACTACTTAAATAATAGCCACACTTCCCTCCAGCCTCTGGTGTGCCGCCTCTTGGGTCCCTACCGACTACAAACCCATATGCTTCCCAGGCACCGCTCCTTAGCTCCAGATGCCAAGTGGAAGTGGGACTGCTCTGCCTTTCAGAAACAACAGTAGCTGCAAAGTGGAGTGAGGAGATAATGGAGTTTTCCTCCCTATGGGGAATTTAGAAACAGGTGGATCCTGGAGGTGCTTTAGAAAAGGGCAACATTCTTCCCACATGAAAAAGCTACATTTGAGGAAAATCTAATATATATCTACATTTAGGATTTAAATATATTTGCATATTATTTTGTTTCTAAATAAGGAACAAAAATGCACTGAAACATAATTCCAGGGACTGGGAACGTGTCCCATTTTTTTTTTTGTAGATGAGTTAGGGTCATGACATGACTTGGGTTTTAATTTTGGGTCCTTAAAACTCTAATAGCTTCTTTACAATTATCTGTGTGTAAACAGGAAAAAGTATGGGGAACATTAATGGGGAACACACTAGGAAAAATACACATGAATGCAAATTTCTGCCAGAAAGTCTTGGGAATGTAGCAGTTGTTTCTCCTTACAAATGCTTTCAACCTTTCAAGACCCACTGTTTTCATAAACCAATGTGAGCAACTGTGTCGTCAGAAACAGAGACTCACAAACACAAAGATTTTCTCCCGTGTGCCTGCCGCTGCAACTTGACAACATGCTCAATAAGATTTTGTTTAAATATCAGGTCCTAGTGCTAACAAATTCAGAAGTGAGAAAAAATTCTACATTAATATTGCCAGAGTGTCTTTCATTCATTCTATTTTACTTTATTGTTACAATTTAAACAAATTCAGAAATTTGGGGTGTTTCTGGCTACTTGAGTAAAACACACTGCAAACCCAAGGGGAAAAGGGAAGAAATACCTGATTTTTGAGCTGCTCTGCCCGTACGCACAGGGTCCTTTCCATCTCACATGCTGATCACAGAAACACTGTCAGCGTCTGCCCCAGGAGGGTCCTGACCCCAGAGTGCATCAGAGCTGCGTCCCACAGCCTGTTCGACAGGCAAGTGACTTGAACACAGACTTGAGGTTTAGGTGTGTCTCACATTACCTAGAATCCAGGCTTAAATTTTGAAAAAACTTTCCAAATATGAGAAGAAATTAAAATATAGATACCAGAACTAAAAACAGCATGTGAGACAACAAACAATATTTCCAGGCCTAACCAAATTGCAACCTTTTCAGTATAGCTTGAGGTATTTTTAAATATTTGTAGACGCTAAATAACATTCAGTTTCCAAAGCTGCTTTTTACTGAAACAGATCCAAGTTCTCATATTATTTGACTTCCAGACATGGTTTCATGTACCAGAGTCTCTGCCCTCAGACCCACAGAAATATCAGACAGCGATTCAGTGGCAGAAAATGGTTCTTACAGTAATAATGGTTCTATTTCCCATTATTGTGCTATTCTTAGGGTATGATTAAAAAAATAAGAAATTTGCAATTCATATAAAAGGAAAACTTGCTTAAACTTCTGAAAGCAAGCCCAGTCTGGTGGAGGTATGTAAGGCATTAAATAACAGAGTCAGATTCTTTTTTTAAGATTCCAGATGAACTCGACAGCAGAGAGTTCTGGTTCTCCAGCATTTTCTCCATCTTTTCCCCTCCAGTGGTTCTACTGATCTCTCTCTGCTTCTTACTGTGGATCCACGGGATAAAACAAAGGACAGCTCCTCCAATCAGGGGGGGTATCCCGGCAAGGTAGAATGACACCTCATAGGAGCCCAGCTTGTCCCGAAGTAACCCTGGGAAGGGAAAAAACTGTCACCGAGAGAGAACAAGTGTGGCCCTTAGGGGTCTCAGCTCAGTCCCACCGATGGCCTGCCTCATCCCCACCTAATAACTTCATCTCAGTAGAACCAGGTGAAATGTCTCATATTACTAAACATTTTTTAGGAAATGTGTCTGAAATATAAACCTTTTCCGATATGAGGAAGGAACAGATCTCATATCTTTAATCTCGTCACACACTACAAGATCTTACATGGAAAAAATATTCGCCACCAAGCTTTGGCGAGCTCAAAGCCCGGCGGAGGTCGCCTGGGCCGGTGTGCCCCACGGTGTCAGGGAAGCTGCCACCGAGCTGCACACGCTCATGCCCGCCTCAGAGTGTCGGCATTTCAAGCCTTCCTCGGGTCTGTGTATGAAATATCATGAAACTGTTTAAAATTACCATTTAAAATCATGAAAAATTTATAAATCTAAGCCAGGGAGAAAAGGGTGATTAAATACATCTTTGAAAGATAACGCAGGTTTGTCCTCACGAGAGGAAAATATGAGAACCTGTCTGGGGCGCTCTGATAGATCCTTGAACTCTGCTTCTGAAACCTGTTACTCAGCGTACTCCTTATGTTTCATTCTAGCCCGATCCAAATTTTAATTAGTTATCTTAGTGTTTTTAAATGTATTCAACTCGCACTTCACAACCTCGGTTATCGGAAACGTCCAGGGAACAGGGCGCACTAACCGCCCGACCCCGCCGAGGGTCTGTCCGGTGGGGCACCCGCACACTTAAAAAGGGTGCACGCACACACTCCGGGTGGAAACACAATCCTAAAAGACACAATCTGTCTAAGTGTGGGACTTTCCCATCTTCCGAATGAGAGTATTTCCTGCATCACTGAGCCTTTCATACTCCCAAACACTAACTAGTTTGGCTGTAACACTGTGAGCCCCCAGAAGCTCCTGGGGTCGCCAGCTGCCGGACTGCTCTGCATGCTTCGGAAGTTTCCTGCTACCTCCTTCACTCTGGGCCTGTTAGCAGTTACTTCTAGTCGCAAACACCATTCCTACCAAAGTGCTTCTTGTCGTCTACTGTGGACTTGGAAACCCTAAAAAGCTCGGCTTGTCAGGTGTAAAAATAGTGTGACTAGTGGGGGGGCAGGGCTGGAGGGTCTCCTGCAGAGACTGTGCCCGGGGACCTTGAGTTCTGTTTGGTCTGTGCAGTGGTGACGCCACTTGCTGGATTCCCGACTGGCTCCCAGCTGGCAGAGCTGGACTGTAACTGAGCCTTCACGTGCCAACACAGATGATAGTACGCACATTTAAATTTTACAAATCTTCCTATCATCCTAAGTCACACTGGCACCCAAGTGACACTGGACATGAGACATCTCTGTACTGCCACTCAGAAGATTTCTTTTTTTTTTTTTTACTTGTTCTGTCTTCTTCTTTTTTTTTTTTTTTAAAGATTTTATTTATTTTTAGAGAGGGAAGGGGGGGAGCTGAGGGAAAGGGAGAGAGAGAGAGAGAGAGAGACATCGATGTGCGGTTGCTGGGGGTTCTGGCCTGCAACCCAGGAATGTACCCTGGCTGGGAATCGAACCTGGGACACTTTGGTTCCCAGCCCATGCTCAATCCACTGAGCTACGCCAGCCAGGGCTTCAGAAGATTTCTGAAGGTGAATTTCATGTAACATAAAATTAACCATTTCAGTGGCATTTAGTACATTCACAACGTTGTGCGACCACCACCTCTGTCTAGTTCCAGATGTGTCCACCTCACCAGAAAGAAGCTCCACTCCCGTTACGGAGTTACTCCATAGCCCCCCTTACCTCCCGCCCCCCGCAACCACAGGTCTACTCTCTGCCTACACGGACTCACCTGTTCTGGATATTTCACATAAATGGAATCATGCACTATGTGACATGTTGTATTTAGCTCTTTGTGGTACACAAAAACAAAAAACCAGTAACTAATAAGTTATATATTTTACATACAAGTGAGACTTAGGACCTGTAGTAATAATGCTATGAATTAATGTAACTACTGGAGAAGAATCACATTTACCTGCAATGGGTGGGCCCACAGTCATGGGCACAGACATGAATCCGAGCAGAAATCCAATCGCTTGGGAGACGTCCCGGGCGCCGACCAACTCGAAGGCAATGGGGGCCATGATGGAAATGAAGCACCCGTCGAAGAGGCCCATGATGAGGCAGACAGCGATGAGGGCCCCGAAGACGTTACACAGGGGAATCATCATGGACATGAGGCCGATGAAGAGGAAGGAGAGAACCTAGGACAGACAACGCAGTGTCAACTCTGCATTCGGGAGAAGTGAATCTTGTGATTCCTGGGCGACACGTTTACAAGTTCAAGGCAGTTACGGGTCTGTCGCCTCCCGGCCCAGCTCCCCTGGACTGTATACAGGTGACAATGTCCGCAGTCACCCCCCCTGAGCTCCCCGAGCACTTTCTCAGTATTTCCATTACGGAGGCAACTTCCACCGCTTCATCTCATGACACCCGTGAAATAAGTACCAAAATCCTGCGGCGTGCCAAATATATTTGTTGCCAACCTGACCAAAAAACAGGTATAATTTTGATTCAAAGTGGACAGCTATATTGTGTGGGCTGTTATCATTTTTTTAAATTTGATAATCTAAGGGAAAACAGGTCTGTGCCCCTGAAATATCTGAATAGTCAGATATTTCGTGTTTTAAAAATCCCTGAGAGACATCAGTTTTTTGGTCAGTTCTGGGAAATCATTCACTTCAGAGTTCAAAATGTATTACTATATATTTTGGGAATATTTCTTAAAACTTTACCTGACTGTAAATTCTCCTATTCTCAATTCATACTATATTAATTTATAGTCTTTTTCAATTATTTGACAATAATTATTAGTTATTTAAATTTGTTATATTTTAATAACAATTGTCAAATTAAAGTTGTTCGTTGTTATTTCAAAGTACACTTTCTTGGTTTTTCTTTAAGATCTGCGTTCACAGAAATTCACACATTTACTCTTTGGCATTTCTCTAACTAGCTGTTTCTTCCTCCCCTGCAGCTCCAGCAGTGAGGAGTGATGCTCCTTCCCAGCAGGTGTCACCATCCAAAACGCAGCTCGGTTGGGGGCCCACAGGCCGGGCTGCTGAGGACAGACGTGTTCCTCATGTGCAGGGATATTTGAGCCACAAGGAGCACAGGCCAAGATTTTGCAAACTGTTTGGAATTACAGAAGGTTCGTAACTTCCTCATCACTCTTCCCAGATAAATATTGATCCATACATCAAATACTGATTTGTAGATTCTGGGCTCCAGAATTTGAAAGATGAATAAATTTAGTATTATATGCAGTGTTTTAGCTTTTGTTTCGTTTTGTTTGGTCTGTTTTCCTCAAAAACAGCAGCTCTGGTTACATTTAAATAAGGGTTCAAAGGTCTCTAATTTTCTCCTGGGTTTCGGCACTGACATTTACTAAGGCACTGACAGTTAAGATGTCTTTCTTGCTTTTGTTTTCTTAAAACCACCCAAGGAAATATATCCTGTCATAATACTACAGGCTCTAGAAGAATAACCCCCTGCTTGATTTAGGTTATGTACTTGATTAAGGTAAATTTTTTTTTTTTGCTATTACCATTCTCATTTCTACTACAAAGAGCATTCTTGGAGAACTGTCAGTTTAGCTTTTGCTCAGGAACCTAAGTACAGTTCAAGAGGAAAAATGAGCTGCACCTGAATAAGCAGGCGTTTGCACAGGCAGACGCGAAAGTGGCCGGAGGCAGAGTCTAGTGTTCCTCCTATGAACTGGTGCGATATCAAGTTTCTGGACTTTTACAGCCCCCGGGGAGGAACCTGGGCAGAAACCAGTGGGCAGCAGAGCTCTGTTAGTCCAGCACAAACTGAAGGGAAGAGTTCGGGCCACAGCCAAGTGGCTGGTTTCATCTAAAGCACAAGAGGCCACAGCCCTTTCGAAGTGCTTCACAGGGAGTCTGTCCAACTTCTTCCACAGCACGAGCACCACCATTTCTGCCTGAGGGAGGAGGTGGCCCCCGAGCCACAGCCCAGCCGAGAATAGGGGCCTCACGCAGGATGGGGAGTTGCTAAGAATTTGGGTAATATTTTGGAAATAGGTAAAGCATATATGCTTATCCCAAGATATCTTCAGGGAAATGTCAAGTAGAACAAAAAACGGGGCAACACAAATCAGTTCATCCTGCTCAGCCAGGGGAGGAGGTTTCACAAGAAGATGGATATGGAGGTGATTAATTTTTCTAAATTACAAAAAAATTCTAAATTACAGAAGTAACCCATGAATACATTTTTTAAAAAATTCACATCTTAGAACAATATATACAATATGAAAGTCTTCCTTCAAGATCCTCTCATGCTCACCCACCCCCACTGTCCTCAGCAGGAATAACCACTCAGTGTGGTCTGCACCCTCCCAGACCTTCCCTACGCACACCCACGGGCCGCTCGGGCCTCTCTGCTTCCCACGGAGGGACGCCAGGCTTGACTGTGCCCACGCCACAGAAATGTGACACCGCGGGACAGTGATCCAAACCCAAGTTTCCCATTCTGTCACTGCGGAGCTACAACTTCCAGACCTTTGCAACACTTGCACACTTCTGAAACAGTTACACATTACAGACTCAAAGACATAGTAATTTACTGCCCACTGGAAGGACAGGCCTGTGAAGCAAAGGAAGAAGGTAAGAAAATACCAGAACACAGCCTGTCTGCTTCCCAATAAAGTACACATGAGAACATACTCTGGGAACCTTTGCAAAGATTTTCTTTAACCATTATTATTCCATGTGATGCAGTTTGGTTATCTCTTCATTCAGGATATAAAACTGTTAGGCTGAAAATACCCGAAACCCAGGACCTTGACGGACGGCCGAATTCGAAACTCTAAGCAAAAGTGTGAGATACGTTCCTGAACTCTGTTACCTGTGACAAAGCCGCCAGTTCAGGATCACTGAGGTCTCCTTTCTCAAGACCTGTCCCAGATTAGGATCTGCCTCAGTATTTAACAGAATATTAATGCATAATAGGAGCAAGGATGAAGCAATCATCCACTTTGGGCCAGCACTTCATAGAAGACGTCACCGTCAATCCTTGCCACAGGCCTTGAACAGCTCTGGAGACAAATTAATGGCAGGACTGGTGTGAACTCCGGTCTCACCCCAGAGCCTGTGCTTTTCTGCTCTGCAGCCTCACAAACCCAAGATGACTCTGACCAGGAATTAGGCCCGTGGGAGGCTGTGAAGTGTGTTCTGTGCCCAGCTGCACTCAGAAGTGGCTTCAAGGGACAAGTTGGGGAGAGAACTGTCCGAGTCCCATGAGGCTGGGAGGCTGGGATGTAGCAATCAAAAGCGGGGAGTGGGTATGAGAGAACACCAACGAAAGGAAGGAAAGAGAGGTAAGCAGCAGGAGCATTCCAACCCTTAAAGGCTGGACCAAAGGGCAGGCAGCCAGGGAGGCAGAGAGGAGAGAAAGAGGATGAGCAAACAGGCCGAGCTGGAACTGGCCGCAGCCCAGCCGAGAATCCACACCACACTGAGTGCGGGAAGCTGGGCCGGGGAAGCGGGGGTGACAGAGGGACAGAGCAGGGGCTGGTGTACAGGGCAGGCCCCATGTGGGCTAGGCTTGTGCGGGCTGGCCCCAGGGCCACTGTGATCACAAGACAGACCCAACAGTGGCTCCCAGCAGCCACGGGACACACTGAAGTCCTCCGAAAGATGGACTTATCTTACCTTCTCAGGTAAGACCTGAAAGCGGACCTAAAAGGTTGTGACTAACCTTTCATCCAAAATGAGATTACTTTTAACTCACTGCTGTGTCACCACAGAGCAAACATGGGACAAATTAGGAAAGTATTTTCTTCTGTAAATTACATGTAATATGTATTAAATTGTGCCCCAAAAATGTAGTAAATGACCTGACTGCCCTACAAGTAATAAGAAAATTTTTCACAAGTTGGAGTAAAACACTGATGTGTAAAACATACTGCAACTTCATGTGCCATGGCACCTTAGTGTGGACCTCTGTCACCTCTCTCCCGGACCACCCCACGGATCTCCTCACTGGTCTCCCCCCACTCTTGCACCCTTGCTTCCCCCCCCAGTAACCCATCCGCCACACACAGAGCAACCACAGTGACCCTAAGATGTAAAATCAGGCCCCGTTACTTTCCAGCAAAGACCCACTACACTTCAAGTGAAATCTCTTCTTGGTTCTGAAGGCTCCGTATCATCTGGGCCCTCCTGGCTTTCCAACCTGTTCGCATGCCACTCTGTCTTCTCAAGTTCCCAAACAGGCCCAGCTTCTTCCTGCTTCCAGTCTTGCTCCAGCAACTCAGGGACCATATCTGTCTTGTTTAAATTATGCTACCAAGGTCTAGGTGACTGCTTGGCACACAGTATGCACAGAGAAATTTTATTTTCTGTTTCGCTTTTTCTTTTAAATATTTTATTTATTTTTAGAGAGAGGAGAAGGGAGGAGAAAGAGAGGGAGAGAAACATCATTGTGTGGCTGTCTCTCGTGCCCCCCTTACTGGGGACCTGGCCCACAACCCAGGCATGAGCCCTGACTGGGAATCAAACCTGCAACCCTTTGGTTCACAGGCCGGTACTCAATCCACTGAGCCATATCAGCCAGGGCATGTTTTGCTTTTCTGAAAATGAAATAATTTGGGTTCTTTATTGTTCTTATGCTGCCTTCCCCATGGCTTTTGCTCTTCAAAACAAAAATATGTCAGACTGGGGACCCCGCCTGTGGTGCAACTTCCCTTGGTATGGCTGCTGAACCTGAGAAGCACCACTTTTCGTTGTGGGTGGGAAGTCGCCGCCTGGGCTGTGTCCAGAATTTTTTGAATGAATGAAAAGCTGAAAGTTTGTAATGCAACAAATGTCCATTAGAGGGCTCCCTTGACACTTGAGAACAAGACCAAATGTTCTGCTAAAGGTTTGACGTGGATATCCACAATTAGGTATTAATATAACAGGGATTGATCACAGTGAAACCGGAAAGGCTGGCATTCATGCTGCCTGTCACTACCAGAACCAGTAAGCAGAGAGAAGGATCAAATCTTTATGGGCGCTTTATTCAGAAGAAGTGCGACCTGAGAAGACAGGAGGTTATGAAGCCTCAAAAACTGTCTTAACATCTCATCTCAAGCCGACCTTTTTATAAGGAGAAGAAAGGGTAGGTAAAGGGTTTGGGACGGTTCACCGGAAAAGAGTTGCAGCCTGGCAGCATTTTCCTAGTACTTTATCTGTTGATCAACAATTCTTTGTCTGCGCCGTGGATGTTCCCTTCCTGGAACACAGCGGCTCGGACTGCAGACCGTCTCCGAGGCCTGCAGACTCCCCGGGGCACAAAGGCTGCGTTGCTGGTTGGCCTCCTGGAGTCACGTGGCCATGCGTTCCGATTCCCGAAATAACCGCTTTCCCCGAGCATTAGGCGCCGAAGCCTGCCCACTAAGGCTAAAATCTTGAACTCCTCAGTCCGCCCATCAACAGTACAGTAAATACTTTAAGAAGCACACCTCTCCCACCCGTCCTCTGGCAGTGTGACCAGGCTGCTTCCCGCGGCTGTCCGCCGGGACCTGCTCACTGCTGCCACGCACAGCGAGGCAGCCTCTCCGCTCCTCCTGGGCGTTCACCTCTGTGGGCGGAAACCAGAGGACCTCCCCCAAAGGGCCAGGCTGAGGGGTAAAGGAGGTAATGCAGGTGGGAATGCTTAATGTATGGCGGCTGTTACTCCTTCAGATCCATTAGCGGAAGTTCATTTGTGTGTGTCACGTGCCGCTGAGTGGGCTCTGGCTCCCGGGACCTGTGAAGGAGAGCTGTCCCGAAAGTCCCGGCCCCAGCAGCCCTGCTCGGCGCCTGCAGTAGCCTCACGCCCCCGGTTCTCAGAGCCTGAGTCCATCTCATACTTGGTCTTCCCCTCGTCCCAAAGCCTTCGATTTATCCCCGCATCACTGTGGCCAACTGGAGGTGCCCCAAGTGGGACGGCTTCGGTTTTGCCATTTCTGCCTCCAGCGAAGTTTCAGGCTTCATTTGCTCTGAGACCCACCCGCTTGCCTCTCGGGCGGCCCACAGTACCCACGCAGCTCTCCCCGACGCCGCATTTCACAGGAACCCATTTTTTCCGGTCACCTTTCTTCACTGGCCTGCTTTCCCCTCGGTACACAGTAAGTCATGTTATCTGTTCCCCTTTCCAATCACTTTCCTGTGCCCAAATCTCACCTCTCCTCAAGGCCCTGCTCCAACACCGCCTCTCCTCCGCACAGTGAGCAGACGTGTTCGGTGCTGAACCCCCGTCCCCTCTCGGCTCTCCTCTGCCTCCCCTCCACCACAGCCAAGCTTCTGGGCAGAGTTGTCTACACTTCCATTTATTCAACTAATCACGGTCAGACTTTTGCACCTGTCAATCCACTGAAGCTTCTGTTGCTAAATCCAACGAAAAGCTTTTAGTCTTTGCCACGCCTGCCCTCTCACCAGCTACGGATGCTGCTGACCGCTCCCACCCCTGTGCCCTGCTTTCCCTCCCCATCCGGCCTCTCCCTTCACACCCCTGGTCCTCCCTTCACCCCGTACAGTCCGTGAATACCCAAGTCCCACAGGACTCTCTCAGGAGCTCCAAACTCAACTTGGCTTTTCCACAAGCACTGCAAACTTAATGTGACAAAAATGAATTCATCATTTTACTCCAATTTACTGAATTACTCAACCTGATAAAACAGCAAAACCACCCACTCTGTTATCCGAGCCATAAATCTCAGACCCAGCTTAGATGGATCCATTGACCCCTCATTCCCTGTACCCCTGTTTTACTCCCTATTTGATTCCCATATCTCTGCCTTGGTCCGTCCTGCCTAGAGTACTTCAAAAGTCTCCAACTTGTCCGTCTGCCCCTGCTTTTTTTTTTTTTTTAAATAACAGCCTTACTGAAATATAAATTCATATACCATAAAATTCACCCATTTAAAGTGGACAGTTCAAAGGGTTTTACATTAACAAGGTTGTACAACCATCAATACTATCTAATTTTAGAATACATCACCCCCGAAAAGAAACCCCATACCCAGTAGCAGTTACTCCCCATTCCCTCTTCCCCAGTCCCTGGAAACCACTAATCTACTTTTTGTCTCTACGGAGCTCCCTGTGCTGGACACTTCATGAAACATTATCATTCAGTATGTGGCCTTTTGTGACTTTCTCAACTCTTACCTCCTCCTCCACTTCATCCCACCCTTCATAGTTGCTGGATTAAACTTTATAAACTACAATTCATGTCATGTCATTCCCTTGCTTAAGATCCTTTCATGGGTCCTGGCAGATTTCAGGATAGAGTTCATTCTCTTTTGTGCTCATAAAGGCCCTTCCCAACCTGGCTGCCTCCCAACCCCCCAGTCAAGCTACTTGCTGTTCTCTCTTTATTCCATTTGGACATTCAGTTTCCGTCACACCTGCACTTCTTTGCCCACATGGTTTCCTCTGCACGGAACACCCTTATCTGTCTTCCTTATCTGTCTACTACTCATGGCTTAACACTCTGCCAGCCCAGGATGGCTGTTCAGACCCTCACTAGTGATGCAGATGCTTGGCAGCTATGTCGCTATGGCACCCACCCCCCAGCATACCCACAACTCCACTGTGCTGTAACACTGTTTTCTGTTTCCCCATGAGACCATTGGCTACTAATCCAGACCACAGACCATGTTTCATCTGCAGGCATGGAATCACTTAAATACTTGTCCAATGAGGTCCATCTGATCTTAGAATTAGCATTTGTTTAGTGTGTACTCCACAATACCCAGGAGGCAAATTGCAAAAAAGAAGCTCAAAGGACAAACACACCCTGCTCCTGAACTTCACAAGACATTGCAAAGGGCACATGACTGTAAGGACTATGACAAAGACACTCTTCTTAGAAAAAAGGCTACAGGCAAAAAACATTTTGGTTTAGTGCAGTTCCACAACTAAACAAAGACGACTGTTTTTGAGCACCAATTTTTCATGCTGAAAACCCAAAACTCTGAACTGATTTTGCCTTTGAAAAATGGCTTGTAGAAATTAGGCTCCTTATTTTTACAGAAGAATTTAAGCAAATGAAAACAAGTAAATAAACAAGCCAGTAGGAGACAGAATAATTTGCTAGGGGAGAGGACTAAAGAAAGTACCTGTAGATACACCTTCTTTGCGCCAGGCACGTAGTCTGCAATCCTGCCGAAGAACAGCCGTCCAACCCCCGACGTGATGCCAATGCACATGAGAAGCACCTCTTTGTTGTCTTGATCTTGGAACCTTTCATTCACATATTTCATCTGTGGGCCAGAGAGAAGGAAGCCACACTAAATGTGGTAGGAGACCTTGACGAGTGTGGAGGCACTGTACAAACGCCTGCGATGTGACCGTTCTGCCCTTCCTTCCCAATTCGAGTATTTATAAAATGTGCTCTTTGAGAGCATATGAGAACGTAAGAAAAGTTAATATGCTTTAGTGTACATTAAATAAGAATTTTTGTGAGGCCTTTTTCAATGTTTAATAAATACAGGGTTACCAACATATACTTTGAAAGTTAACAGTGACCCATTCAGTGATAAGAAGAGAACAGCCCTTTGAACCCTACTCTGTCAAGGTCATCCAGGGACCAGAACATTATCTCTTCCGTGCAAGGCAGTTTTTTAAGGGTCAGTTCGTGAGTGTCATCTCTTCTAGGGGGGCCTGAACCAAACTGACACCTCTGAACTAAGCTGTACTGGAGCTTAAAGCTCTCTACCTATGAATTTGCCTATTCGTGGGACGTGGGACCAGATAAAGGTAGAGTCAGTTTAACACAGTGGTTAAAAGAAAAGCCTCTAGAGAGGGGGCTTTGGGTTCAATCCTGGTTCCATTCCTGATTAGCCTTGTGACCCTGGGCAAGTTCTTAACCTCTAGGGCCTCAGTTTCATGGCCGGGAAGCAGAGATAGCAACAGTGCTTCTAGAAGATAGTTGTGATGATTAAACACCTGCATAAAGAACTTAGAAGAGTACCCAACACACAGTTAATAATGATCAAATATTAATTTTAGCCTATTTAAAACGGAACTTTCTTTTAATTTAGTGTCTGCTTAGAACAATGACTGTAAACCAACAGCCTGAGAGTGTTTGCCAAGGCAGAGTGACCAGGCAGCTGGTGTGTGGTGACACCACACACAGCTCAGCACCCACCATCCAACGTGAGCTTTGCTCCCACAGCCCAAGTTTCTCAGTTTGCCACAGCTTTCCTAGCACTTCCATTTATTTTTTAATATTTTATTTATTTATTTTTAGAGAGAGGAGAAAGAAGGGAGAAAGAGAGGGAGAGAAACATCAATGTGTGGTTGCCTCTTGCATGCCCCCAACTGGGGACCTGGCCTGCAACCCAGGCATGTGATCTGACTGGGAATTGAACCTGCAACCCTTTGGTTCGCAGGCCAGCGCTCAATTCACTGAGCCACACCAGCCAGGGCAGCACTTCTGTTTTCTTAGTGATCACCTATCTGGGCTCACAACAAGGAAAAAAAGCATGTCTGTAACTATTACTGAGATGTTATAATAATCATAAACAGCTGTTTCAAATGATCAGACTCACTGTCCCCCTACAGCAAACATGGGCCTGACTTCTGGAAGCCTGCAAGGCAGATTTCCCAGCAAGTTCAAAGGGCCCGATGGGTTTCATGTAGCACTAGTAGCCTTTCTGGGTGACATCTCCTTAACAGACTTCCTTTTTGCATTTTTAAGCCCACTTAAGCATGCCAACAGCATCACATCTGTCTTTTCCCTTTCAAAACCGTAACTGTCCTCCTCAACTTCTGCATCTTCCCCACTGATCCAGATAATCCTCCTAAATATGGCTTTAATCTCATCAATTTCTTATCAGATGCCCACTGCCCATATTTATACTCCTTAATCTGGCATTAAACTGTCTGTCACCAATCTATCTTTGTACCTTTATTACTTACTGATCCTCGATTCAGAGGTAGAAAACTCAAGCGTCTACAGGACCCAGGCAAAGTGAGCATAAAAGAGCACAACAGACTGCGGGGGGCGGGGAGGCATACAGTTCAGCTGATCAATACCACACAGGACCACCCATGTTGCCCAGCCCCCTTTTATTTTAAAATGAAGTCAGAAATCTGGATTTTTATATGGAAATGTTGGCACCTAACTTAAATTTAGAACAAAACATAATCCAACCCAACCCCCCAGCACGCCCCCCCCGCCCCCCGCCCCAGCCAAACAAAACAGCCTGCAAACTGCATTAGGCCAGCTTTGATCTCAGCCCTAATCTCATCTGGCCCAGCAGGATGGGTATATTCAGTGTCTGAAACATTCTCACCTCTCTCTCTCTATGTTTCTGCTGCCTCTTCTACCTCTGTGACATATAAATTCTGCTTAAACCCCACCTTTTCTATGAAAATCCCACCTGCTCTTGATTACCTTGGCCTTACACCCTCTTCTTGTTACTGCCTAAAGCTTTCATTGGCACCTTAAGTACTTTGTTCCTACACAGCCTTCACAGCTTCTAACTCTACACATACTCTTGAGCAAACTCTTGCACGACAAACTGGACATACCTACCTGCCTGTGAAAAGGCACCTCCAAGTCAACATGCCCCATGCTGAACTCATCTCCCCTCACAACCTGCCCCTCCTCCCTGTCAGTTAACACTGCCAGTATTGGCCCAACTACCCTAGGTAGAAACCTGATAGCCACCCTAGATTACTCCCTCCTTCTCTTCAAATCCAACAGCCACTGCCAAATTCTGATGATTTCACCTCCTAAATCTCTGTCAGACACACTCCCTTTGGTCCACATTCCCTAGTGTTTTAGTTCGGGTTCTCATCACTCCTCACCTGGACCACCACAACAGCCTTCTAACGATGCTTCTTGCATGAGCCCCGACTCCTAACTCTCTAACCTATATTCCCCAAGACCACCAAATTAAGTCCAATATTAAAAATAACACTTCTTTGCCTAAGATCCTTTTATGGCTCCCATTGCCTTCAGAGTAAAGCTCAAACTCTTGGTTTGACAGATGAAACCTTCCTGCTTTGTTACTGCAGCCTCATCTTAGCAGCCTCCTTATATTCACCATGTTAACACTGTGCTATCCAATATGACGTGGGCTACTGGGCACTTAAAATGTGGCTAGTCAAATTCAGATGTACTGTTAGTGCAAAACACACAGCAAATACAGAAAATTAGTGGGGGAAACAACAGCACACAAAATATCTCATTAATAATTTAAAAATATTGATTCCATGTTGAAATAGTATTTTGGCTATATTGGTTAAATAAAATATATTATGAAACTAACTTCACCTTGTTTTTTTACTTTTAAAAATATGGCTACTAAAATTTTTTAAATTCCACATGTGTCTTGCATTATATTTCCATTGAACAGTGCTAGTCTAAGAAATCTACTTGTGCCTGCAAAGATAAGACAGCTGTCATAAAGGTAACCACAAACTGGTTTACTCCTCCAGGCCCTTATTACTTTCCATAAGTAAGATTACAAAAAGCAGAAAAATGCCCTGGCCCAGTGGCTCAATGGTTGGAGCATCATCCCGTATATCAAAAATGTTGCAGGTTTGATTCCCAGTCAGGGCACATACCTAGGTTGAGGGTTCGATCCCCAGTCAGGGTACATACTGGAGGGAACCAATCGATGTTCCCTTTTCATATCTATGTTTCTCTTTCTCTCTCTCTACAAAATGAATAAACATTCTCAAGGTGAAGATTTTTCCCCCTCCCCATGTACCAGATTTTCAAAAAAGTAGAAGAGATGGATTCCATCTCAATTTTGAAGAAAATTAATAACCTGATCTAAAGCAAGCAGGACATAATTAAGAATATGTATCGGCTTTATTTGAAACTTGAATCGAGACTCTACTGTATTAATCCACTTCAGGAAGCACTCAAAGAATCTATTACAACTTTTAAAGAAACATTTAGTATATTAAAAGAAAGACTAAATTTTCCCTGGCTGGTGTGGCTCAGTGGATTGAGCGCTGGCCTGCAAACCAAAAGTCCCTGGTTCAATTCCCAGTCAGGGTACATGCCTGGGTTGTGGGCCAGGTCCCCAGTAGGAGGTGTGCAAGAGGCAACCACACATTGGTATTTCCCTCACTTTCTCCCTCTCTTCCTCTCTCTCTAAAAATAAATAAATATATTTTTTAAAAAGACTAAATTTCCCAGTCATTCCTTTGATGAAACCAAGAATACCTGCCCGGCAAATTGCTATTACTCTTTATTAGTGGCTTATTTTTTCCCCTGCTCTACTTTATAATCCTTAAAAGAAATAATAAACTAAAATGTTTTGAGTCTTTTGAAAGAAGGTAAATTTGGTAAATTCAAATTTAAAGGGAAACTTAGTTCTTCAGATATAAAGGACATTCTTTCATAGAATTTTGCTATTGTTTAAATAAAACAAGAACTTTAGCTTCTAACACCCCGTCCCCATCCTCAGCCAAAATCTGCAAAAGTCTCTTTGGTCATTAAGTCAGGGAATCTGGGAGTTTAGAGAAGAGGATCTGAGGACTCTGGCTCTCTGGGTCCTAGAGGTCCCTCCTCACTGAGGGAGAAGGACTTAGGAGATGTGGCGTGTTCTGCTTACAGCTGGGTCTCCCGTAATTGCTGCTCTTTAGTTTAGCAGAGAGCATGAAGACTGGGCAAAATTGATGCTTCTGATAATGGGATGCAAGGGTAGGGACATGAAAATATTGAACAGATGTTTCCACATATAACCTAACTTATTTAAACCAATACAATGCTTTACTAGAGGCCACTATCTACATAGAAGAAAACATCATTTGGTAGAGCAGCCATTTCAAGTCAACTTTATCTGATTGTGTAAGTGTTTTTAGGGCAGGAATTAGTCCTTTATTCATGTTATCAAACACCTGTTTACTCCAGGGCTGTGTACCCCTCAGGGATTATTGGAGCCTTGCTGACTGAGAGCTCGGACACTGCCTGCTCATTCAAGCAGCCACTTCCCTAACAACCGAGGCCATCTTTGGATTGTGTGAAACCCTATTTATTGTTTCATTATCCAAAGATAAACAAGAAATCATAACCCCAAATATCTGCTCATTCTACAGCCATGGTGAAAGAAGGAAAAACAAAAAAACAAAGATGAAAGATCTAAATATAAGATCTGACACAATAAATTACATAGAAGAAAATACAGGTAATAAACTTATGGACCTTGGTCTTAGAGATTTTATATTTGACCCCAAGGGCAAGGGAAGGCAAAAATAAACTAATGGGGCTACATCAAACTAATAAACTTCTGCACAG